TACTCATGACACTTCAGAAGTAGGGGTTTTACAAATAAACCTAACTTGAGTCCCCAAAAATCATTAAAATGAAAATAAAAAATTAATTAGTGCCCCCAACCCTAATTTTTTCACAGCACTTATTTATTGGCCCCAAATATAGTGAGTTCACAAATAAAAATAACTGTCCCCTTAAAACACACAAAAAATTGTAACTTGAACTTTTTTAGCTAACTTTTGAAAGCCCAAATATTGTGAAACAAAAAATTAAGTTCATTATTATAGTACTTCTTGCTGCAACATATCAATACTTAATTCACATTTACATCAACGTGTAATCTCCATTACATGAATTCAAGAGATTAAAAAATGGCAAATTACCTAATGATCCCTCAGGTTTGATAAAATACACAAGCTTCTGTTAGACATTTTCACTGGAAGGCGTTTACAAGAAAAATATTTATAAGGATATGCTAATACTCCATTGCACAAATTCGGAGGAAGGGGGAAGGATGGAAAACTAAAGTATTGCAGGACCAGGAAGACAAGAATTTCAACGACGACAATGATATCATATATACTAATATTTTTAGTTGTCACTTTTAAATGAAAAATTCTTTAGCTACTCCTCATATAATTTACAAAAACTTCTCTATTTTCTTCTTGATAATTGTTTTTGTTTAAGTTTACAAGATTTTGTTTATTTAAAATGGTACAAACTTTTCTTAACAATTCATCAATATAATGACATGTTTTCCAAACATGGAATTGAAGTACTCTTTTCTTTTCTTTTTTTGGGTTCAGAAATTGAATTTTTTAGATTGAAATAATTTCTGGAATTTTTTGAATTTTTAACAATGTTATAAATTTTCCAATTCTCTTGAACCTATAACTTGCCATTTCCTATTCTGTATGGTTTTTCTTTTTCATATCAATTTTCCAATCCCTATTTAATCAGGTTGCACTTTACTCATTTTTTTGGTTTTATTTTCTTCAATATATACTAAGACTAATATTATAGAGAAACGTATATTACAATTGATTTATTACCAAATGCATTAACATACAAATATACATTCATAATTGGTGTCATACAAATGGCAAAAGGAATCAATGAATCAGTTTTTTCAAGTAAATTTCAATTGTGTGACGAAAATTAATGAACATATTATGAGCACTGCTTGTTCCAAATTCATTTCATTGTAGTATAACATTGTAAAATCATATCCTAAAAAGCAAAGAAGAAAGCAGAGTCACGTTAAGGTACCGTGGTAATAGTAGAGCCAAGATGGCAATGGGCGCCCACAAGCTTCAGTTCATCTGGATGTGCCTTCACAGAATCCAGAAACCATTGCAGCTTCTCATTTCTAATACCAAATTTTGAATTCTTATTCCCAGTGGCAACATAAGGATGGACCTAAGAAAACAATACAGATTCAGCAGACACGAGTGAAATTTACAATTAAAACAATGAGAAATTAATACCTTCCCAAATTTATACACAGAACAACATATAATTGCAGAAAAAAGGAGAGAGAGAGGTAGCGAAACTTCCAAGGCCACGTACATATCATAGACATTAATAGGGGGGTCGAGGACCTTCAGGTGTAGTGATAGCAGGACATTGGCAGTGGACTGGTGTGGATGTGGTGGTTGCAGGGTGTCAAAGCAATAAGTGGCAGTAAGGTGACGGTCGTTTATTAATGCTAACACTAGTGGCAGTAAGGGGCAGCTGCAGCAGAAGTGGTAATGGTTATTGTGGTGGTGTCAGCACAGTGGCATGAGATTGTTTTAATGGTAGTGTGGTGACCAAATAGTGGTTAGAAGGAAGTGGCTGTACTAAATTTCTGGTGGTAGAGATGATTATGTTTCACAAAAATCAATGTCAAAAGGCTTAATGCAAAGCCTATGCATATCAGTGTCAACCATTTATCATGAAACAAAGCATTGTTTTATTGGCTTATTACAGAGAAGAAATTTCAAGATAGCTTCAAAGGTAACCTCACCTTAATCATGTAGAACAGTAGATACAATAAAAAAAATTACAACGATTTACTGAGAGAGTCCAAAGTTTGATTTCTCAACCAAAATTGATATATGAACTATGATCGAGTTGTGACCAAAAGAGATTTATAAACTGTGATTATTTTATGATTAGAGGAGATTTATGAACTACGAACAGAGTGACAAGATTGATTAAGGTTGACCTAAGTAGCAGTTGTGTTTTGCTGTTCAGGTCTATATCTTGAAGCTCGAGAAATCTTCATGACATTAATGGTAAATTTCTTCGATATACAGAGAAGATAATGCACTAGTATTGTCCGGTTCAACATGACAATATAGCAATCATACATTCACAAACAATAATTCTGAATCTTAGATTTTACGTATGACATTATCATAACGCATGAGTTATAATTTGGCACAACTAACCTGAGGGTCAACATCTGGATTTATCCGAAGTAATACATTAACCTTCTTCCCAGCAATTCTTGAAGCTGATACAATATTTTCCAAATCAAATTCACTATCAAAATTGACAAAAACACCTTCCTGGGCAGCTAACACCAAATCCTCCAGGAGCTTTCCGTATGGAGAACTAACAAGCACATTCCAAAACTACACTTAAACCAAGAATGAAATAATCAATAGGTAGATCGGTTGAAATTTTCATACCGCATATTTATATTGCCAAAAATATATTGCAAAGTGAAATTTGTTCATGATATTAATCTGCCTTTTTGTACAACTTATTTAGAAACTTGGCATCCATACCTTGTGGATTACTAATGAAGCAATTTTATATCTATCAGACAATTTGAAAGTTCTAAAATATAGCACTTCCATCCCTACTCTTAGAAATTTCGAGAGTGGAAAGCATTTTGATTTAAAAATACCTTTTTCTTCTTTTCTTTTTTCTGTATGGATTCTTACTATCATATTGATCCACTTATTGTTATTATTATATCATATTGATCCACTTATCAAAGAACAAAATGAACACATTGCATCCTCTATGAAACCATTTGCAAAATACTGAAGAATTGAATAATTCACAGTTTATTATACGATAAAATCATATTGTACAAAGATAAAATTCATTTTTGGTATGGTTTGCAACTACATTTGTACATACTACTTCTCACAATGAGCAGCTGTCTTAGGTCCAGAATGAATGCTCATTTTAGCACTGTCCAATATACAACAGACACCTTGTGAAAAACCAAACATTAATCAAAACCTCTCTGCCAAAACCCTAGTATCGATTTCTTGAGCAATACCACAATTACAAAAACCTCTGAATTTCTACTGATTCTATAAATCACAAAGATGCAATCTTTAGACGCTAACAGACACTATTAAGTACCAAAATTCCAAAACAAAGCACAACTATATTGTGACACCAAGCTAAAAATGTGTGTATAATGGCATATACCATATAATTATTTTACCTGGTGGGATCGAACCCGGCACGAAGTGCCACTCTGAGCTCATTACCACTGACCAACACAGCACCACAACCCAACTTTCTCAAATGCTCTAAAATCTTGAGATTATTGTTGGCTTTGATTGCATACCCAATAACCGAATTCAAACCCTCCAAAGCATCCCTATAGGCCTCGAAGTTTCTTGTGATTTGGGGCTTACCGTACATATAGAAAGGCCTTCTCTCCACAGTTTCCATGACATCCTGAACCTAAGACCCTCACAGTACAAATACCCATTTTCAGATTTGGTGAAACAATGCTGAAAATTTTGGGTTGGTGTATCAGATGCTAGGGTTTGGGGACAGAACTGCCCTTAGGGTTAGGGTTCTTGAGGTGGGTTTGAAGGGGATAATGGGCTTGAGAACAAATGGGGTTTTGGTGGAGTTTGAAGGGTATTTAAGGGATTTAGGAAAAGTTGGTGAGTGAGAGAGAAGATGAGAAGCTGCCATTGAAGGAACAGAGAAGAGTTTGAGTGAGAAATGTTTGTTGCACAGAGACAGTGTACGAAGAATGATGAAGTGTTTTAGGTCTTTTGCCCGGTTTTGATCAAACGGGCAGTTTTTCCGGCCAGATTGAAATCTTGGGCTGCCTGTGAGGTTTTTGGATGGACAAAGATTGGGGCCAAATCTGTGAAGCAAATTGGGTCATTGAGGCCTGGGAATGGCCCAATAGACGCAAAAATAAAAAATAAAAAGTTGAGAAGGCATTTCATTTGTGTATCTTGTAAAGTCTTTGGGGTGGGAATTGTCATGGGACTCCACATGGCCCAAATGGGATGTTGTTCAAAAGATAAATAGTTGTAGATGTACCAAGGGCTTCTGCCCCAATGGTCTTTTTTTATACTTCTAAAAGTAGATAGTGAGGATTCAAGTTTTTAGAGAAGTAAAATAGATGCATGGTGTATTTGAGTTTCTTACCAATTACCAAATACATATATATGATGTATGCGTCTCACAAGGTAAATAAATATATAAATTTGAATATATATATATATATCCTCTGAATTCGGAGGATGCCGGTGTTATATGAGTGGAGGTGTGAGCTTCAAGCCCCCATCATATAATATCGTCTGATATCATGTGGTGAAACTTATACTTTCGGCATCTCTAAATTCGGTCTTAAATTTGAAATCAAAATATAAGAGAGTTTTGTTTACCGACTAATGTCACAATTACTGGTGGGAAAGATGAAAGGAGAGTCCATTCTCATCCCTTTTGGTTACTCCCAGGTAACTCATCATCACACTTGTAAGAAACTTGTAGCTTTTTCACAGATATGTCAAGAGGCAAGGCTGAGTACCTCGTGCACAGGGTAGCATCTTTTCTTTAAAAAACTCTATAATGCTCATTAGATAGAATAGAACTCATAAAGGCATATAGTGAAGGTCGCAATGACTAAAGCAAGTTAATCTGCAAAACACTTCTCCAGTTATACTCCAATCTCCTCCATTGAACAATTGTTAAAAACACATAGCCTTGGGAACTAATATGTTTTCCAAATAATAACTGAAGAATAGTAAGACAGACGCGAAAATTCCAGAAAAATATGTATTATTAAGAAGTAAAAGGTTTGCTTATTAATTATTATTGAATTAAAATAAAAGGCTTCTAAGATGGGGAAATTGATTTGGCCAAACATTGAAACCTTTTCCACTCATCACTAAAACCTTCTTTTATCATAAACTATCCAAATTTCAGTAACATCCATTGTTCATGCATTCCATAATATAAGACATTATGTTTCACGACCAGCCAACTTGATTCATTTTATGCCATAAACTTCCTTTTTGTGGTCCAAGGACTATGCTACACAGTGAGATAGCCTTCCCTTCTCGGAACCCCCTAACCCGGATGAAGGCAGTATTCAATCTCGGAGCTCTGGTATGACTAACAAGATACTCGACCATCTAAAATAACTCACACCTTTGTAGAAAGGATTTCACCCTTTTGTGGAAAATTGTTTCTGAGGAAGTGCTCTCCAACCAATGTCTCGCCGGTAGAACCCTCCTGGCCAGTTGATTTCATCGATAGCTCGGTAAGCTCTTTCCCGTGCCTCTTCAAGATCTCGTCCCTTGGCAGTGACCCCAAGTACACGCCCTCCAGTAGCAATCAAGTTGCCATTGGAGTCGAGTGCTGTTCCAGCATGGAATATCTTAACTGATGGAATGGCATGCTCTGCTTCTTCAAGGTTTCGAATCAAAGTTCCCTTTTCGTAACTCCCAGGGTAGCCGTTACTTGCCATGACCACCACCATTGAAGGTTCAGGGGACCAGTTCAGAGATACCCCAGTTAGCTCTCCCCTACATGCTGCAAGCAGAACTTGTGCCAGATCAGATTCCAACCGAACCATCAATGCCTGCATATCACAAAGAGCAAACAATACGAAAATTTATGTGGCGACAAATAAGATCACGCAAACAGTTATAATATTCCAAATATGGGCAAATGAACCAGCATCTTACGTTTCTCCAACATTTGAATATAAAGCTCATTCTCTGAGTTCTCAATCCTCACCAACCCATTCTATACACTTCAAACAGTTTCCACCAAACCAAACCAAACCCAAAGAAAGATGTTTATTTTGGAGACACAACTCGATAGAGTATAACTTGTTCTCCTTCAACACATTATTATAAGCCATAATATAATTTAAATGTTGGCAATTCAACTAATGTTTTTCCTTATTCCCTTTTAGTCTTTAAATTTTCACCTTTTACCTTCTTTGATAGAGATCATTTTGGTGATCCTCATTTAATTAAACCGTCCCATCTCAATGTGGCTCCAAAGACTTGAAATAAAAAATGATAATGCATCAATGCTATTCATACATGCATATGCCATTTGTCAGATTAAATTATATATGGCACACAAAACTATGCAGGATGGTGGTTGTAATTCACCACTTATTAGAGCATCAAATAATTAACAATGATCAGAAAGAGTTTACTTGGACCATTGGCACCTTCAAACGACAAGATCTTCAATATAGGAGCCATTTTAAGTGAGAGATACGGCGATGAACTTCATAATCATAAAGTACAAACACCAAATTACTTAAACCAAGTAGCAGTTAGTCACTGAAAGACACAAGAATATTGCAAGAAGATGTGAGAACAAAGAGAAGTTGAAAAGGAAAATTACAACCTAAATATAAGGACTAGCCTGCATGATCTGTGCTTTACAGTCCTAACAAAAGTCATTGCCAACCAAAATTCAATTAAAACCAAGGTTTTTTGTTCTTGAATTATGACAAACATATTTTATTAATTTATTAGATAAGTACGAAGCACATTATCTGCAGTTATCCCAACAAAACTCTAGCTGTATAACAGATCAAAGTTTTCAGTGAATTCTGGAAGCCAACCGATGGAAGAGTCAATTCTTATGCAAGTGTCACAAAACTAACAATAGCATTTGAATAATTGAATCATGTTTGATTTTGATTGGAATATCAATTAGATGTATGTTAACTGACCTGGCATTCTGGGTCTCCAAACCGAACATTGTACTCAATTAACTTAGGTAATCCAGACTTCTTCTCAATCATGAGTCCAGCATACAAAACCCCAACAAATTTGCAGCCCTCTTCCGACATCCCTTTTACCGTTGGGAAAATTATAGATTTCATGACCAAAGATTGAAGTTCTTTAGTTAAGACAGGTGCTGGAGAGTATGCCCCCATTCCACCAGTATTGGGCCCTGTATCACCATCACCTACGCGTTTATGATCCTGAGCAGATTCTAAAGGTATTGCATTCTCTCCATCCACCAAAGCAAAGAATGATGCTTCTTCTCCTTCCAAAAATTCCTCAACAATGACACGACAACCGGCAGAGCCAAAAACACCCTTTACAAGCATTAAATCAACAGCTTCATAAGCCTCCTCCAGTGTCATCGCAACAGTAACTCCTTTTCCAGCAGCCAATCCATCTGCTTTGATAACAATAGGTGCCCCTTGCTCTTTTATGTACTTTTTTGCAGCCAAGGGATCTGTAAAAGTTTGATACTGCACAAAATTAAATAAAGCATTTGTAAGAGAGTTTTCTAAAGTCTGGTGAAACAGACTTCATAAATTACAAAATATTAATAAAAATGATCGAGCTAAATTTTATGTAGTTGGGAAAAAGCCGTGGTGGTGGTTGTTGTATCGAGCTAAATTTTATATGTAGGCAATAAATTCAAGCAGGCATGACAACAAGACAATAGAGATGGCAACATTGTCAAAATTATGAGATAATTCTTGGAGCTTGCTTGGTTCAGATTTTTTTCAGCTGATTTAATCCTTAAAACCAATTTAATCAGTTTTTTTTATCTGAAAAATATATTTGAACCGGATGGAATATGATTATATTATAACAACTTAAGCTGGGAAGCAAAAATAAAGTGCTTAAAACATAATCAGGTCTCAAGCTGATTGATTTAAAATAGAGTCATGCTAGGAGCTAAAAACAAAAAAAAAGGAAATCCAAACGAAATTGATGAAAGTGTTTCCTTTACATATCAAACAAATAAAAAAATTTGCAGAAATGTTCAAATTTTAATCCATTTTTTGATGTGATAATCAGAATCAACTGAGCTAATTGTATATCCATGACAAAACAATTCTGATTTTAACACCTATATATATAATAGTACAATATAAGCTTTTACCATTTTCTGTCCAAAAAGGTGTGGCAATGCTCTGAATATGAATGTTAAAACTAAATCAAGCTTACTGAAATTTTCATAGATAAAGACAAAAGAAGGAAACGATACCCTCTACATTGCATTGAGAATTTGAGATAAAGGGACAAACCTTAGCAGTGGGAATTCCATATTTGTCACACAAATTCTTCATGAAGTTCTTGGAACCTTCCAAGGCAGCTGCCTCCGATGAAGGGCCAAAGGTAGGAATTCCAGCCCTAATTAAATCGTTTGCAAGACCTGAAACAAGAGGAGCTTCTGGTCCAACTACAACCAGTCCCACTCCCCATTTATTGCAGAAAGATATGACAGCTGCACTGTCTAAGATTTCAAGGTCGGAAATGCAAGTGGCATTCCCTGAACTAGAAATCCCAGCATTGCCGGGTGCACAAAAGACAGCATCGCAGGAGGGAGATCGTTGCAAGGCATAACAAAGTGCATGTTCCCTTCCCCCTCCACCAATGACCAATACAACAACCCTCTCCTCTACAAAACAACCACCACCAAAAAAAAAAACAAAAAATGGATGGATCAATCAATAACAAAACATGACTTATCAAAAAAAAAAAATCAATGACAAAACATGACCATGTAAAGAAGCTATGCAACCAATATTAAAATAATCTTATGTTTTCAAATGTTGGTTGTGATAAAATACGTATACATACATACATACATACACACACACACACACATATATATATATATATATATATATATAATATCTCAGATTTTACTGGAAACAGTATAAATATTGAAGCAACTTTTATTCTTTGAATGGTTTCTTACTCAATGTAGTGTCATTCTCTCAGTCCTTTACCTCTTTTACTAGAATAATGCAATCCGGTGAAATTTCCTCTATTTAACTCATTAATTTTTATGCATTTAGTCCATATTCCCTTAATTCCCTTTTATTCTCTGCATGTTGGTTTCGTCACATAGTTGGAATCCTCCATCTGGGAAATAACTCATGACCAAGGCAAGTGCACTATAATCTGATTTTCTTTAGGCCACTCTTGGCCTTTCAAAGATAGTTTGGCTATTTGTGTCATCACACGCTTGGGCTTTTTGAGCCCTGGCATGCCTACATCCTACAAGACCAAGAAGCCAAACATAAATGTAGTTATGTATACATGCATACAGATATATATACATATGTTTTTATAGATAGATATACAAAAACATAAAAATATAAAACAAAAGTATATGCAAATATGAACACAATAAAGTAATAAGAATCAAATGGGAGGATTTAATGGTATCTCCAAAATGAGCAGTTGATAATGGCAATCAAAGGGTGATTGAGGAAAGGATCAAACTGAGTTTTACAATTCTTGTACGTTTTTTAGGATTTTGATTGGCTTTGTTGAGCAAATAATTTAGAAATTTCCAGCATGTGTATTTAGCAAACAGAACCAGGCAGCTGTTAGAAATGGACAAATTTGAAGACCCTTAGGTGGATTTTGATAACTGCGCAAAGAAGCAAATATGATTAGTAGTAAAGAATTAGCATGCATGCATTTCAGTTGCCATTATCTAGGGTTTTGGGTTTTGAGGAGTTCAAAAAGTGATTGAACTGTGAAGGAGATTGGAAGCCTAGTGTGGCTCATACACTTAACTTGCCAGTAGGACATTAAGAATGGAATAGTACTGACTTGTAAATTTGTTCTCAACCCACAAAGTCTTTCCCCAACTACCTTGGATTGGTTACAAACTTGTAAATTTGCAATTTACATATTCCGTTCTCAATCAGAACACTTAACTTTTCATCATCAAAATTTAACAACGTTACTAAAAACTGGATCAAAATCCCCAAAACCTTCAATACTACACAAGGAAAATTTTCTAATGGGTCAAAAATCAAATTAGAATCTCAAATATTTATCAAGCTTCAATAAAAATAAAAAATTTAGCCATATCCAAAAACTAGAATCTCCAAAACAATTTCATTGTAGTAGCATTTGGTATTTGCCTAATCGTCTGGTTCTCAAAACTACTATTATAATTTCCTTCATTTTCCCAGGAAACAAAAGGAGAGGGTAGTGAGGGTCTTCTCTTACCAGAAATGTCATTATCCGAAGAAACGGCATTAAACACGGTGGAGAAGGATCGAAACCTGTTTGGAAGGCGAGAATCACAAGGACCTCGAAAATTCGGAGATTTGGAATTGAGTTTCCTCAAGAAGAAATCTGATTGATTGCCGAAGAAGCAGTGACGATGAGTGGCTCCAAACAACTTTGATGAGCGATGGTGATGACAATCCAGGAACTTCATTGAAGCTCCTCCAATGTAGTGTGAAACGCAAGCCATTCTGTTTGTTAACCTAGAAAATCTAAATCAAAGCCAACATCAGTTGTTTTTTAAAAAATTAAAAAAATAAAATAACGACATTCAGACAAATATATAGGCGAATATATATGTGTGTATATATTGATAGATAGGGAGGAGGAAGAGGTGGACATATAAAGCAGTGAGGGTTTTAGATTTTAAAACCTCTGTTGGGGAACGGTAGGATCACTCTCTTCTCCGCCGCTGCCTTGGCACCAAATGTCTCAGACTCGCCGCCGTCTGCGGTGGAGGCACAGTCAAGGTTTTCGAAGAAGTAACCGTCGATCGACAAGCCCCCGAAGTGGCCACCTACTTTGCTTTGGGCTTGAACTTTTCGCCGCCAGTAGGAATCGACGGTCACGGTAGCGAGGTTAGCGGTGTCCGAGGAGAGAGAGCTCAGAAAGTGCTGACAACGTAATTCGCGGATGGGAGTCATTTTAGCCTATTTAGGGCAAGCAAAACGATGCCGTCCGGCTTGTCCTCTTTTTTAAAATTTTTTTATCAACCCTGCTGTATTTAAACATTTTCAAAGTTCTGTTTCCACCGAAAGTGGACATTAATGAGTGTGACTGTTTTCTAACCAAAAAACAAGGTTTGTTACAAGTTTGTTATTGAGGGTGAATTTTGCACTTTATTTTTGTCCAAATTTTATACTTATGTTTGGGAGCATGTCTTGAATTAAAAATGAGAGGATATTTATTTCAAAATGTTAAATTGAATTTTTTTCAATTGACAAAATACGTAATTTTGGAGTAATAATAATTTTTTCATATATCACTTGTTAATTTTATAGTTTGTTACTACCAAGCACATTCATTGATTTATTAAAGGAGATAGTTTGTTACTACCAAGCACATCCATTGATTTATTAAAGGAGGAGATACCATAACAGACCGAGTAAATTTCACTTTATGATCTGTATCACATTATGTAAACTTTATGATCTGTTTCATATTTATTTAATTTCGTAATAGGCAAAAACATCAATGCTGAACAATAAAAATTATAACAAACAAGACTAGTAGTGCTTGAGGTTCCAGTCATCATAAAGGGTTTAATTTATGGAGCCTTACCTCTGCCATGGGGGAGGCCAAGGTTATTTCATGTTCCAAACTTGATTCATGACCCTATATCGTGGCACAATAGCACAACTTTACCATTATATCAAATCCCGCCGAAGTGTACAACGAGGGGAAAAAATTTGCTTCTGCCGTGAGAAATGAAATGAGGGGAATGAATATTCAATTATCTCATAGTGGGGTTTTTTCAATACGAAAAATAAGCAAACAAATCAAATGAGGAGAGGACGCACTTTCTCCTATCTTTGAAAACTTTTGGGCGGGTAGCCCATTGAGGTACGGCCAAAAATCTTCTCTTATTTCCTGTTCAGTGCAGTGAGATTTGGGTTTCTCTTTTTTGCTTTCTCAACCTTTTTTCTTGGCAATCAAACACCGTACAAGGGAAGGAAAAATTCTTAAAAAGAGAACTACTCAAAACGTCTATCCAAAAAAAATTCAGCACAGTGATAATACATTACACTCTCATTTTGTTGTTTGGCAGCAAGCCATATTACATCCCTTTACAACAGGGTCCCTATAAATATGCACATTATAGGTTTACACTGTCCATGTGAAATCACAAAAATGAAAGAAAAGAAAAAAAAACACACGCACACCCTCGTTGACATTCAAACTCAAATTTCGCGTCTCCCAAATCGTCCCGGGACTTCATTTGCAAATCTTTACTTAGAAAGTGAGAGATAATAAAATAAAATAAAAACATGTGGGAAGGGAATTTTACAGACGTTGGCACAGAACCAGATTCTTGTTGCGAAAGCAAGTGGAGGATTATAAAACACCAAATAACTGCTAGGCGTGCAGAGCCATGAACAAATTCTGCTTTCGAGCATGCTCTGGAACAAGCCGGTGGATAACATCAGGTGGGATGCCCGTAAGCTCTGTCAAAAAGAACAAAAGAGAGCAGCAATATGCATGAGAAAATAGGTGTAAAAATGAATGACAGTGAGTGCGTGCAAGAGCTGAAGAAATGAACTTTTTAATTGTGGGACAATTAGAACAAGCTGGTACTGTTCAACATAAATTACCATCCAATGTGGCTTATATTCAGATACATATCTAGATTTTTTTTTTCCCCTGACAAACGAAGTGTTTTATCCATCTAGATCTCATGGTTCTGTCGACGCTTATTATACTGTCTGATGCAAGTGGATGCAGAAAGAAGAATTTAATACCCATAACTTTTAAAATACACTATAAAGATAGTCCTTAGGTATTTGCTATGAGAATAATCCTTTTCTATATTATGGTTGAGACTTTTCGCTCCTTTCTTAACCTAAAGATTCATTTATCCATGAAAGAAAAAAGGAAATAGATAAATATAAATAGCCATATTAAAGAGGACAATGATGCAATTTCAATATCTAGAGAATATTTTAGCTGTTCTGCTCCAGGTAAGTTTCCTCATTCAGGCTCAAAAAGGACAAGAAAAAAGAAGCCAATAGCCTTGCAAAAGTAGAATATCAAACTTAAATAAGGCTTATACAATGAATTTCTCTAGACTCTACATGTTCCAGAGAGGCATAAAAAAGGGTAAAATTGGACATCTCACTGCTGAAATACTTCCTTGAGCATTACCAGTTTTTAACTGTTTGGGAGATCACTGCATGCCTGTGGTTGCATACTTGTCTTCGAGGGTCAAGCTAAAAGATTTCAATAGACGGCTACCAAGAGACTTTGGTGGTTTCAAACCACCTTTGAGGATTACAAATTGCATAGTTGTAGTCAAAGATAAATAAATAAAAATAAAAAGCTCTTATGGGGGCACTGCACCTCTTCTTTTTTTTTTTTTTTGGTAAGTAAGAATTTTATAAAAAAATGCTCAAAGGGGAGCGAAACCCATGGAAACAAGAAGAAAAGGCCACAAAAAGCCTCAAGCCTTCAAAGAGGCCAAAAAAATAACAATCTCCTCAACAGAACGATAATCTCTCCCTGAGACCCAACAAAAGAGAGTAGAAATAATAGAGAACTTGAGCATAGAAATGGGTTTCTCCTTGCCATCAAAGTATCTCCGATTCCTCTTCAATGCGAGGTTTGCAAAATTTTCTCACTTGGAAGACCATTGCACCCCCTGGTTGAAGACTTGCCAGAAAGGAGCAAGTGTGGAGAAGTGTGAAATCTATTTTAAGAAACAAATGGGAGATTGTCATGGTACCAAACCAGTAAACCACCTTCACCAATTATGAAGTTGGTCTGTCAAAAGATATTGATGATAACCTTTTTAATTTTCTCTTTCATTTTTTGGGGGAAAGGGGTCAAGTGATGATAAAGCTTCTACTGGCATAAAATAGCAAGCAGACTCTGCAGAACTTTACAGCGGGGAGAGAAATATCTTCCCTGGCTGGCTCCAGTGCCTCTAAGTCACACCCATTTTCATGCGGACATCATTATATAGAAAACTCTACAGATAACTTGTTTAAGAAAAATATTAGAGTTTCAAAGAAACATTTCTTTTGTGGAGCTGAAGTTGATTCAATAGAGCAGGTTGTCAACTGCCAAGGTTTGGGAGTGGAACTTGATATTCAACTTTTTGTATAAACAAGTATGCTGGATAACAAAACTGAATACAAATACTTTCTTATTCTCCACTTTATGCTATCCTCTTATCATTAATAAAATTAACATGCATAAGATATTATTCAATAAAAACCGATCCATGTAGAAGATAGTTTTCAAATTAAGATCAAACATAAAGATGTGCAATACACATTATTATTGTGCCCGACTATTTCCTAAATTGATTTTCAGGTTAATGAAATATAAAGGCATAACCATTAATTTATTGCCTTGAAACCATAATCACTCTATCATCATACTTCAAAGAAAATGACGAGCATTGTGACAATAAATGTGCCTTTTTGTTTCAGGTATTGAGCAAAACTTACCTTGGGGCTTGAAATTAAAGAGTGGGGGAAGAGGGCGGCCGTTAGGAAGGCGGGTATTTGGGTCCCTCAATTCGTCAAAGAAAGGGTGAATGCAAGCTTCCAACTGCAGAACAACCACGTGAGAAATGATAATTGATACTTCATCACTGGAGTTTTAACAGCTTAAGTATGAAAGTTGAACGTACAGCAGTGCATCGCAAATTGGGGGAGTACTGGAAAAACCTGCAGACAAGGTCCACTGCTTCGGGAGGTAAACGTTTCTGGAAAACCTGGAAGATGAGAATTAAGTTCACAGTGAATCTTGCATGCAAAGGGACACGTCGTAGGAAGGTGAAATCTCACCCAATTGTAGTCAGGAAGAAGTTACACATCCACATACAATCAAAATGGAATCATGACAGGAGTCAGTATTCAAATGGATGAGGTGAAGGTGGATAGAAAACTATTATAAAACCGAGGAGGCCTTTAAAAAATAAATTAAAACAATATGGCGAGAGCAACTTTATTTCTTTTAAGAAAGCCCTTAAAGTTCAAAGAAGGAAGAAAAAGTTAACTTTTTTTCTGGGTGGGGTAAAACAGGGGCCTTGCTCACTTCACAACCCAGTCACACACCAAGCAAACCTCTCCACTCAAAACTGAACAACAAAACCCACAAACTTATTACAAGGAAAAAAATTCTGCTTCTGGTCAATTACATGTTTGATTAAACCACACAGGATAAAATATTCCTTCTTGAAATCATTACAAGGAACCAATAATGATCCATATCACCAAACTTGAGTGAAGTCCATATAGCACAAATGAATAATGTCAAAGTGTGGGCACTAGCATGCTTTGAACAAGAACCAGGAGCCCGGAAGAACACCACACATCACTGACCCAAAGCACCATATTCCGAGGCAACTCAACTCAAAAAAGCTTTAAATTGTAACTAGTTGGGATGAATAACACTTGTTTTAAAAATAAAAAATAAAAAAATTCAGTTCTACCAAGAATTGCAGTTAAAATAAAGTTGAGTTAGCTTAAAAGCCATATTCTCAGCTAATTCTAGGTCGTAAAATTTTTTTCAAACGGCCCGAGCCTGGGCCCTTCGTGGGAATTTTTTTTCTTTCTTTCTTTTCCTACTAAAACCTTTAACTTGAACCCAGTAACTCTTCCTCCAGGTTTATTCTGTAAAAGGGACGCTAAACATGAAATAGTTGAGGTTTACCATGCTGCTAGACACCATACTTTGCTGCAAACATTTTAACTGGAGGGGTTTCAGGTTCCAACTCATAATCCCAGCAACAAGGTTACAAAATGACTTCGGGTTCATCATATTCCAACACATCTAAGTATTTTTGAGTCTCCATGATGGCTCACCTTGTTCATCACTTGGTTGAGTGCAACTTCAAATTTGCAACAAGGGCACATAATGCCATCACTTGGACCATAACAACACATGAATATGAATAGTAAATTTTAAATAATCAAACCTCAAATGCCGGACTTTAGCTCTATCTCAACAGCAGATGTTATATGTAATACTGAAACTTTTGGAGCCTTTCAAGTAAAAATAAATTATGTGAATAACATAGCATATAAGTGAAGATGAGGAAAAAGAATTTTACCTTGTGCCATGGATGAGGTTTTATCTGTGGAAACTTAAATTCTGTATAGTTTGGATTCATGCATTTTATCTCCTCCCTCGTAGGTGTACCCAAAACCTGTATAACAATTTAAAATGCAAAGAACCAATATTTTTAAAATATGGGGATAGTTTGGGTATTTGCTTCAAAAAATTAAATAAATGACAGTAGTATTTGTTAGAAATGTTTCATGCTCATCGGGCGCTACATTAATTTTTTCTGTATTTACAATGCTAAAATCTCCTTTTTCTTATTCCTTCTTCTTCTGCCTGGTATTTGTTGTTGTTTTTCAAGAAAACAGCAAGATTAAATCTCAGCTGAGATTACAACCTTCATAGTCACCAAACAAAACCCAGCAGTAATTTCTGTTGCCAAAAAGTTCCAAAGCAGAAAAACAAGTTTCAGAAATCTATTTCATTTCCAGAGTGACTGAAATATGATCTGAAGCAGAAGTCTAATACATGGTACACCAAGATTTAATGCATTGGTTTTGAATTTCCTTAAACTTCATCTCTCAACTACTTCCAGTTCTAGGAATGGACAATATTTAACCTTTTGTTCAAGCCATGCCTCAAATATCAATGAAATTTATTAAGACAGATGGCTCAAAAATATCACCTTGATTATCTCAATTAATTGATCGACTCCACTCTCTCCAGGAAACAAAGGCTGTAAATAAGTTGGTTATATAAGTAATGAGAAATAATGAGATTATAAATAAAACTCTTGAGAAGCTAAGATACGCATTCACGCACAAGTATATCAGACATAAAATACCTGTCCAAGAAGTAATTCAGCCATCACACAACCTGTAGACCATATATCTATAGCAGTTGTATATTCAGTGGCACCAAATATGAGTTCCGGAGCACGATAATATCTTGAACAGATGTAGGAAACATTAGGTTCTCCTTTCACCTGACGGGTTGGTAAAGGAACCAAAATTAAGCAATTAAATAAACAAACAAGACACTGCCATGAAAAACCAATATCCCATGAAAGAATTACCAAAACTTTTGCACTTCCAAAATCGCAAAGTTTCAGCTGATGCGTGTGCGGGTTAACCTGATTGCAAGAACTTAGCAATTTAGTCTTTCATAATACGCTAATGTCATAGATACAAGATATCACCATGGACCTGGAGATACTAATCTATCTAGTGGGACAAATCTAACATCCTAGATGGGCACCACAATATATGTCTCTCTCACTTACTTTTGATTTATTTGATTCTATTAAATATTACGCACCATAATACAATAACTACCAAAAATGTTTCTTTTTCTTTTTTTGGTATCATATCCTTTACAGAATATTTCCTACAATTTTGGAATCTTTTGCGCCAATAATAGTTTATCTAATCAGTTTAAATAAGTCCCTTTAGGTATTCTTTATTCTGAAAGGGCAGCCAAAAATAACATGAGGTTATTAAAAATGATTTAAAAAATTTAAAAATAGTAGGTGAATTGGCATGAAATAGAAAAGCTTGAAGAGAGAGAATTCATGTGGCCGACCCCATGCACATGGGATTAAGGCAAGGATGATGATGATGATGAGGTATTCTTTATTCTCTCCTTCCAGAAAACAAGCAAAGGTAAAATGCTAACTGCCTTAACAAATATGAATAGATGAATTTAGGTGAGACGGGTCTTGATTTGGTAAAATCCTAGACCTCAGCCTAAAATATAAATATAACATATTCTCATCCAAACCCCAGTTTTCTATTACATCATGAACAGTGTTCAAGATCTAATTGCACTGGTTCGCTATTTGACCCCATAGTTGAGTTAGTGTTGTGTGTAAGCAAAAAAATATGCACATGCTCCCCCAACAAAAAAAGAAGGAAAAAAAAAATTAGCTACAGATGGTTGTCGTGTTATTTACTTCCATTACATTACAATTCAATGTAGATGAGTATACTTCTCAATATCCCACTAATAATGCAAAATTATCACATGTTGTCTATAAATTTCTAGTGAGAAATGGACACTTGGCAGTGACTAGTAAGTTTATGACTTAGAAGGTTTTCCTGTACTAATGCAACTGGAAAAATCAGATAACATGCATATTTGCAGATCATAAACAGTTAAAAAACGAGTTGCAAATCCCAAATCCTCAATTCTCAAAGAAGAAGAATCTTACAAGTAAATTCTGAGGCTTGATGTCACGGTGACAAATACCAATACAGTTGTGAATATAAGCAAGCGCCCTGCATATCTGCACCCAAAATAAGAAAAGAATCCGTGATAATGAGAAATCAATTAAAAATGATTAACCCATACACTAGTAAATAAGCTTGCACCACCACAAAACATTTCATATTGACATTTAAATTCCATTAAAAACAAGTTAAAGATAAGCTATTATATGTATTGCAGAACAGTTCATATTGAAATCTCAATTTCATTGGAAAACGTCTAACTTTGCACATGCATAACTATTATATATATTTCTTATTAATATTTTTTGAAAGATATGCATAATCAAGCCTGAAAGGCAGCACAAGGAGATGTCTGAACTTTCTCCTCAGCGGCTAGATTATTACATGGGGAATACAACAGCTTTTGCAGGAGTAAACATACAATAACACTTGATACCACATTAGCATTCTAATGCAAATATTATTATGAAGAAAACATTATATTCACTGTTTCTCCAACACTCTTGATAAGTGAACTTATGTATGTCATATAGGTTCTATCTACCGCTGTTATAATCGCACAGGTAGGTGCATCAAGTCAAATTCTAGCTGAGAATGTACTACCAACTTAGAGAAAAGGCATTAAATCCAGTAAGGATTAGCTGATCGAATTGGCATGTGATCTCTAGACAATCACATCCTTTAAACAGAAAAGATAATGTTTGAACATCTTCAAATTTGACAAGCCTCGCCAAACTGCAAAGCCTGGTTGTAAAAATGACGTTACGACTTTAGGAAGCTCTGTCAGAACTCAGGCCCCAAGGTTACCACAAAGTCCGAATCTCATATAAATGACGTGATAAAGTGTTGCACCTTATCACAAAATCAGTCATTAATTATACAATTAAAAACAATGCTGCATACAATGGGAACAATGAACAAATTTCTTATAAGAGTAGCACTTCACAACAAAAGTTTAGTGAAACAGTACGTTCATAATAAGTATACTCTCAAAAGGAGACATTAGAAGTGACACTAGACCGAAGTCCAGCAAGAGTATAAACCATTAAAGAACAAGTTAAGTACACGCGTGTGATACCCCCTAATTTTGGAACACGGATTGATCAAGTCCGCGCACAAAATCAAGGGATATCAAAACAATTTAAGTATTTAACAAGCACAGAATACAAAGATGAATAATAAAGAATAAATAAACCGCTGAAGAAAACTAATAAATAAATATTACTTAATGATTCTCCAACAATTACAATTCGGAAATCCCATAACTCAAGGACCCCTTAAAACATTATCCAATAATCCAATACTATTTAAAAGTACACAAGATGAATAGACGAATGACAGTCTCCCAGCTGCGGATCCTCAACCTCGAGACTGGAACCTCTAATAACCTGAAAAATAAATCGTGGGTTAAACCCTACGAGCAAGTTCACTCTACCAGGCCTCTGAAAACCAATAAGCAGATCATCTCTGATCAAAACCAAACCTAATAAAGTTTTAACTTTAATAAAGCACGATATACATGTCTATATATAATTATATATACTATACTAATCACATCCATTAATAGGTTTATTAAATTTCCATACCTATTAAATAATTATTAAAATAATATTCATACCTAGACCAATCTACCATTTCATTTTATAAAAACTCCTTTGACCTTAATCCCATCCTAGTCAGTTGTTTAATCATTTAAACAACAAATTATAATAAAAGAAATACTCTATTTAATCCCAACCCGATAATGATTTTAATTGTTTAAATCACATATCAAAAATCCAAGTTTTGACAAATCATCCACGTCTTCCCCAATATTATTTTATTAATGTAAAATAATACACTAACCAGTAAGTACTAAACTATTCTCATTTAAGAATATCTAACCCTAATCCAATCCATGCATACAACAACCATAGATGATATTTTAATCATCTAACACATAACAACGTAATTATGCTTTGGCAAATCAACCATGCCATTGTAAATATTTTTATTTATATATTGGCAATTCAACCATGCCTCCATAGGTATATTTATTTATACATTGGCAATTCAACCATGCCTCCGTGTATGTATATTTATACATTGGCAATTCAACCATGCCTCCACAGGTATATTTATTCATACATTTAATTAGCAATTCATCCATGCTTTCCATATATGTATTCTATTCATACAAATATTTAGGTAATATATTTAATCATTTGACAATTCATCCATGCCCACACTTTAACCATGAATTAACTTTAAAATTAACAATACGCTAAATCATACATAGCCATCACATGCATATTATACGCATATCATTAATTTAACAACCAGCCTATTAAGATATGCCAAATAAGAATGATAATATTAATCATCTTAAATGATTTTTATATATATATACCTACACATATGTTATTTAATGTATATATGTGTTTAACACCTTCTTTAATAATCCTTGATTATTTAAAATCAATATACATACATACATACATATATACATATATATATATATATATTCATCCTTCCATACAACTCATAGACAAATTAAACTATATATACACATATATAAATAATTTTATATATATATATATATATACACTTCCTTCCATAACAAATTATTAATTTATTATATTTACGCAAATTAGTGCAACTAAATATGTCAGAAATAGTTTCCTTTAAATACTCCATATTGGTTTAAATAGTTTTCCGACACTTTCTCACTAAAACATAAATATCTCCTAGTAGGATGGGAATCTGATAATGAAATTGGTACCATTGGAAAGAAGACGAAAAATCCTTGAATTTGAGCTCAAGAATGACCCGATTTCGATTTAAAATGACTAAGTTATGACCGTTTTAATTTCTAGTGTCGAATTAGGCCAACATAGTTTCCCACGCGCGCCCACGTGCTTACTATGCACTTGCACGCACTGGATTCAAGCCTCCTTGTGTGCTGGTATTGGCTAAGCTCTTTCAGCTACCGTGGGCTCACCACACTGAATCCATCACTTCCTTTATGCCGCATCCAATGGTCATAAATGAGTGCGCAAATGAACACGCTCACACTAGATTATTTTCTATTAACTATAATAGATCTAAGGTCCAGATCAGCGAGTGCACCATCTTCTCATGGTCTGCAATACACCAAATAATCCCATAGTTGACCAGACCACTTCTATGGTCCAGATACACATGCGCACCAAAGTTTTATGTGCCGCGATGCACCATATCAATTCACATAAGTTTAATTAATCAAATGGCCCTAATTGGCGTATACACCCTATTATCCTACACCGCACCGCACTGGATCAATTCTTTATTGTGCCGCCGCACCACATGCGCCAGTTAACTAGTATATATATATATAATTATTTTCCTAACAAATAATAGGAAAATAAATCCTAATAAATTCCTAAAAATATCAGAAAAATTCCAGAAAATTACAGAACAATTCTAGAGAATAAAGAAACCATAATTAACTCTCTTGGGTCACAAATCCACCTATAGATTGATTTTAGAATATACATAACACCTATATATATCAATTAAAATTCAATAATCTAAAAATCAAATATAATAGTTTATACTTTTTAATTATTCCGATCTAACCATAATTTTTAAACAAATAAATTAAATTAAAGCCTTGATACTCAAGGTGAAATCCTTATGAGTTCTAAGAGGAAAGTTAGAGAAAACTCGCCTGAAGGTTTCGAAACGAAACCGACGCTTTAAGCTTTAATTATCTCTTCCAATTCCGACGTCCTCCTTTTCAGATCCGACCTCCTCCTTGTCAGCCCTTCTTCTTCCTCTCTCTCTGTCTGTTTTATTTTTCTAATGTGTAAAACCTTTAACCCTAAAGCCTTATGTGTATTTTTATACACCTTAAATTCCAAATCCTATTCCAACTAGTATTATGAATTAAAATAATAATCTTTAAATAATTTATATCTATAAACATATATATATATATAAATATATATTCCTTCCATAATTAACTCATTAGTTAATTAAATCATATATACTTATAAATATCAATAAATATATATCTATATATATATCTTTCCATGACAATTATTAATTAATTATATTTATATATAATTATATATATATATATATATATATATATATATAATTGATACAAAAGTGATCATTTAAATAATTAAATAACCACCGGCCTTCATTAAGTAATCCAATAAGGTTTCATAGAAACCCAAGACCACATCTTTTGGTCCAACTTTCCTTAAACCCAATCCAATTAATTTAAATAAATAAGATAATTAATTAAATACTAAAATTAAAATAACTAATTACATGAAGCACATAAACAAACAAGAATTTACAACTAAGTCACACAATACCAATAAAATCAACACACCAATAATTCAATCAATAATCAACCACACAAACAATCAATCATCATACATAATCACGAAATATAACTTAATTAAAATAAGATAATTAATCTAGCACTCAATAAAATAAAATAAATCATTGAAAAATAAAATAAAATAATTAATCCTAATTAATAAATCCTTTAAAAATATCGGGATATTACATTCTTCCCCCCTAACAAAAGGAATTCCGTCCTCGGAATTCACGAATCCCTGAAATGAAAACTTTCATTATTTAATTTCAAATTTCATTATTCCTTTTATCCGTGTGGAAATTAACCCATCCACACATAATCATAATTAGCAGGCACATCTCGTAATTAGTTAATTCCATATTTATATAATTGATAAATATAAATACACATTAGAGACTCTCACTGGAATAAAGCAGTCTCAACCGGATAGTGGGTATCTCATGTAAAACGCACACAAAGGTGGTTACGAGTCCTCCTTCTACCAGAGCCCACACATCCTTAAACCCAGCTACCCATCTCAATAGGCAATATACGCCTCCATCCTAACCACTGATCCTGAGACTCAAGCTTATATCATGGCCCATATATGTGTGTGTGTGTGTGTGTGTGTGTGTGTGTGTGTGTATATATATATATATATAATCCATTATATCCACATAAAAGTAAACTATCCAACCATATTATTTCAATGGCATACCATCCAACTATTCCGTTGACCTGACACGAATAAGTAGGACTTAACGCTATGGTTAATCCGTTCCCTTATAAATATACAGGTAGGACTTAACTTCTTTGGTTAATCCGTCCCTGAAATGCCACCGTCCCATACCGGTGCATTAAACCATATAATTCATAAATAAATAGGTAGGACTTAACTATTCCGTTAATCCGTCCCTAAAATACCTCCATATTATTTTATTGGTGCATAAATCCATAAAACCCATACTTCAAAATTAAGGGAAGACTCAACGATTTACCAATACCTTCTAAATCGATGTCTTACCATTTTCATGATAAGACTCAATGATTTACCATTAGGACACACTAACGGACCGAATATAGAATACAATGAATCCTAAACTTAAGCTCTAAGTAAAAGAGTACACAACGCGGAAGTCACACAACGAAAGACACCCTAGGGACACTTGAACCTGGAGTGCTCTGATACCAACTGTGATACCCCCTAATTTTGGAACACGGATTGATCAAGTCCGCGCACAAAATCAAGGGATATCAAAACAATTTAAGTATTTAACAAGCACAGAATACAAAGATGAATAATAAAGAATAAATAAACCGCTGAAGAAAACTAATAAATAAATATTACTTAATGATTCTCCAACAATTACAATTCGGAAATCCCATAACTCAAGGACCCCTTAAAACATTATCCAATAATCCAATACTATTTAAAAGTACACAAGATGAATAGACGAATGACAGTCTCCCAACTGCGGATCCTCAACCTCGAGACTGGAACCTCTAATAACCTGAAAAATAAATCGTGGGTTAAACCCTACGAGCAAGTTCACTCTACCAGGCCTCTGAAAACCAATAAGCAGATCATCTCTGATCAAAACCAAACCTAATAAAGTTTTAACTTTAATAAAGCACGATATACATGTCTATATATAATTATATATACTATACTAATCACATCCATTAATAGGTTTATTAAATTTCCATACCTATTAAATAATTATTAAAATAATATTCATACCTAGACCAATCTACCATTTCATTTTATAAAAACTCCTTTGACCTTAATCCCATCCTAGTCAGTTGTTTAATCATTTAAACAACAAATTATAATAAAAGAAATACTCTATTTAATCCCAACCCAATAATGATTTTAATTGTTTAAATCACATATCAAAAATCCAAGTTTTGACAAATCATCCACGTCTTCCCCAATATTATTTTATTAATGTAAAATAATACACTAACCAGTAAGTACTAAACTATTCTCATTTAAGAATATCTAACCCTAATCCAATCCATGCATACAACAACCATAGATGATATTTTAATCATCTAACACATAACAACGTAATTATGCTTTGGCAAATCAACCATGCCATTGTAAATATTTTTATTTATATATTGGCAATTCAACCATGCCTCCATAGGTATATTTATTTATACATTGGCAATTCAACCATGCCTCCGTGTATGTATATTTATACATTGGCAATTCAACCATGCCTCCACAGGTATATTTATTCATACATTTAATTAGCAATTCATCCATGCTTTCCATATATGTATTCTATTCATACAAATATTTAGGTAATATATTTAATCATTTGACAATTCATCCATGCCCACACTTTAACCATGAATTAACTTTAAAATTAACAATACGCTAAATCATACATAGCCATCACATGCATATTATACGCATATCATTAATTTAACAACCAGCCTATTAAGATATGCCAAATAAGAATGATAATATTAATCATCTTAAATGATTTTTATATATATATACCTACACATATGTTATTTAATGTATATATGTGTTTAACACCTTCTTTAATAATCCTTGATTATTTAAAATCAATATACATACATACATACATATATACATATATATATATATATATTCATCCTTCCATACAACTCATAGACAAATTAAACTATATATACACATATATAAATAATTTTATATATATATATATATATACACTTCCTTCCATAACAAATTATTAATTTATTATATTTACGCAAATTAGTGCAACTAAATATGTCAGAAATAGTTTCCTTTAAATACTCCATATTGGTTTAAATAGTTTTCCGACACTTTCTCACTAAAACATAAATATCTCCTAGTAGGATGGGAATCTGATAATGAAATTGGTACCATTGGAAAGAAGACGAAAAATCCTTGAATTTGAGCTCAAGAATGACCCGATTTCGATTTAAAATGACTAAGTTATGACCGTTTTAATTTCTAGTGTCGAATTAGGCCAACATAGTTTCCCACGCGCGCCCACGTGCTTACTATGCACTTGCACGCACTGGATTCAAGCCTCCTTGTGTGCTGGTATTGGCTAAGCTCTTTCAGCTACCGTGGGCTCACCACACTGAATCCATCACTTCCTTTATGCCGCATCCAATGGTCATAAATGAGTGCGCAAATGAACACGCTCACACTAGATTATTTTCTATTAACTATAATAGATCTAAGGTCCAGATCAGCGAGTGCACCATCTTCTCATGGTCTGCAATACACCAAATAATCCCATAGTTGACCAGACCACTTCTATGGTCCAGATACACATGCGCACCAAAGTTTTATGCGCCGCGATGCACCATATCAATTCACATAAGTTTAATTAATCAAATGGCCCTAATTGGCGTATACACCCTATTATCCTACACCGCACCGCACTGGATCAATTCTTTATTGTGCCGCCGCTCCACATGCGCCAGTTACCTAGTATATATATATATATATATATAATTATTTAATAGGAAAATAAATCCTAATAAATTCCTAAAAATATCAGAAAAATTCCAGAAAATTACAGAACAATTCTAGAGAATAAAGAAACCATAATTAACTCTCTTGGGTCACAAATCCACCTATAGATTGATTTTAGAATATACATAACACCTATATATATCAATTAAAATCCAATAATCTAAAAATCAAATATAATAGTTTATACTTTTTAATTATTCCGATCTAACCATAATTTTTAAACAAATAAATTAAATTAAAGCCTTGATACTCAAGGTGAAATCCTTATGAGTTCTAAGAGGAAAGTTAGAGAAAACTCGCCTGAAGGTTTCGAAACGAAACCGACGCTTTAAGCTTTAATTATCTCTTCCAATTCCGACGTCCTCCTTTTCAGATCCGACCTCCTCCTTGTCAGCCCTTCTTCTTCCTCTCTCTCTGTCTGTTTTATTTTTCTAATGTGTAAAACCTTTAACCCTAAAGCCTTATGTGTATTTTTATACACCTTAAATTCCAAATCCTATTCCAACTAGTATTATGAATTAAAATAATAATCTTTAAATAATTTATATCTATAAACATATATATATATATATAAATATATATTCCTTCCATAATTAACTCATTAGTTAATTAAATCATATATACTTATAAATATCAATAAATATATATCTATATATATATCTTTCCATGACAATTATTAATTAATTATATTTATATATAATTATATATATATATATATATATATAAATATAATTGATACAAAAGTGATCATTTAAATAATTAAATAACCACCGGCCTTCATTAAGTAATCCAATAAGGTTTCATAGAAACCCAAGACCACATCTTTTGGTCCAACTTTCCTTAAACCCAATCCAATTAATTTAAATAAATAAGATAATTAATTAAATACTAAAATTAAAATAACTAATTACATGAAGCACATAAACAAACAAGAATTTACAACTAAGTCACACAATACCAATAAAATCAACACACCAATAATTCAATCAATAATCAACCACACAAACAATCAATCATCATACATAATCACGAAATATAACTTAATTAAAATAAGATAATTAATCTAGCACTCAATAAAATAAAATAAATCATTGAAAAATAAAATAAAATAATTAATCCTAATTAATAAATCCTTTAAAAATATCGGGATATTACAACGCGCGCGTGTGGGAGTGTGTGTGTGAGAAAGAGACGCTGCCCCTGTTTTACTGTTCTTTTACCCCTCTGCATGATTTCATCATTGAGATGTCATCTGAAAAACTTAACAACCTTAGGCAAAGGGTCTATTAAAATAGTGAACTTGGGGACCATTAAAAACACCGAGGAAGCATCCGATTTTATGCAAAGATACTTGATCACATAGCCTTGGGAAAACAGAAAGGTCTAGGTGTTCCACTAAGGTGATAAATTGAACATTTTTTTTTTTCCTCAGCAAGACAGATGCCAAACCTCAGACCCTGTTCAAAGGGGTAAAGTTCAAATAGACTCCAAACCCAAACAGGCTTGCAAGAATTGGTTAAATTGAACATATTACTTGAAAGCATTAAATCCATGAAAATAGTACATGTGCACCCACTCACATGCGATGGTGATTTGTGCAGACACAACATATATGAACCAGCTGGTAAACAGGAATGTAGCCAGAAATTATGTTCCCGGGGGGGGGGGGGGGGGGGGGGGGGGGGGATAAAGCATTTTTTTAAAAGTTGAGGGGTGGGGCACATGCCCCCCCCCCCCCCCGGGCCTTAGTTGGCTCCATCCATGCTGGTAAACTTATAGACAATCAGTCTACAAACATTTATGAGTTCTGAAGATTTAACGACCTAAAGACAAACAATCACATCTATCAAAGATTTAAAAAAAAAAACTTCCAACATGCCTGATACGTATAGAGTTTGACATATATTAAGGGCATTCGCTGGTTGATCCTGCTGTAGTTCCTTGCAACCCGATTAACAGTCTCAGGAACAAATTCAAGTACAAGATTGAGATACACCTCTTCCTTGTCAGTTGTTGAAAAGAAACAATGCTTCAGGGCAACAGTGTTAGGATGGTCCATCATTTGCATAATCTGTAATTCCCTATTCTTGTAGCGCTTGTCTTGGAGAACCTTCTTAATAGCAACAATCTCCCCAGTCTCTCTGCACTTTGCCTGCATCAAGGAAGTTTAATCATATCAATATTTCAATACAATGCTGAAGTATAACAAATAATTCAATGTATCAAATATCATAGCTCTGCCTACTTGGAAAACGACACCAAAAGAACCAGTTCCAACCACATGTTCCGCTTTGTAACTGATGGCCTGTCAACCAGACAAAACACATGTTGCAGAAATTGTGAGAAGAACACCATGAAAATTAAATAATAACATCATTGCGTAAAAGCTTATGTTATCTTTGAATTAATTTTCTTCCAACCTGCTTAGATTTACCATTACGACCACCAATAGTTGTTCTTATTACATGTCCTGCTTCAGCACCAACACCATCAATTATATCTGGTTCACTATCCTGCAGTACATTGTTTTAAAACGAAAAACAACTTTTTTGAGTAAGTAAAAAGCAAGCGTCACTATAAAGTAGAGGAGAAAATTGAAAAAGTTCCACAGCCCAAATTTGTACAAATCAACTAGACATTTTTCAATTAGGTGTCTTCCAAGTGCCAAATGAGCAAAATGCTCCAGAACCAGTTTACAAAGGATTGCTCTTTACAAGCGGGGATCGGAACTCGTCCATAGGATAATTGCGATGATTGAGTGAGAAGCACAGGAAGCACAAACCACCAGACATATATAAATAGACAAATAAATATTAAAATAAAAAACCCACTCTGTCATCGTCATGGTCAACCTTGTCCCTCAAACTCATCTCAAGCATTTCTTTTCCTAACCAGTCAACTGAACTAGATGAGCCCTTGAAGCCATTTACAGCTCTGGAACTGCCCGCTCCGCCATGTCCTAGGCTGGCAGAAGCCATATATGTGCCCGATGAGTATTACGGATGCTAATATTTGATATCCTTTACATATTTCTCTGTGTTTCGGCACTCCATCCCATACAAGCACCTGTCTTTCTAATACAACAAAATGAATCCTCAAGTCAGAAAAGAAAACACACACACACACATAAAGAGAATAGCGCATTCAGGCAAGATAAATGGCAAATATGATTTTTTTGGTACGGAACATTCCTTTAAAATTATATAGTTTTTGGGTTAAATCGAGTCCTCATTTATATTATTTCTAATAATTGTGCTGCTGGGTCTTTTTGTTAATTTTAAAGGGTCGAGGGTATTTTGACAATTTTATATGTACTGGATTTAGGCTGTAGTAGTGGTCCGTAAGTTACTTAATAAAGCTACTAAATTTCCACTTTGGAATCAAAATCCTAGTGAGTGGAAAAACCCAAGCAGCATATAACTATCCATGCAATCTTTCTATCCAAGTGAACTGAAATCTCAAGTTTAAGAGAAGATTTTAAAGTTCTATTTGATGTATGATGTAACCTTACCTTATGAGATGATTCTAGAAGAGAGTCCTAGATTATCTTTCTTCTTCTTCTTCTTATACGTCTCTATAATTAATTGTAAGGTTAGTGTTCACAGCACCACAGCAGCCCAAAATTCATCCCAAAAACCTAGCATAGCAAGCCAATCAACTATAAACCCTTTGGTCTTAATTTAAGATCTAAAATCCTACAGTAGTTGCTATCCGGAAATTTAACAACTTATCTCAAAAATTCCAGCAATCAATCACTTTTAAAACCAAGCTGAATCCTATCTCCTTCCTACAAACTCTACACCATATCTTCACTTAATAAACCTATATATCACTTTCGCATTATCTTTACCCATCATAAATATATGTGGGCAGTATAAATCCAACTTCCCTAAAGTGTTCAACAATAGACTTTCTATCTTTTCTTTCACATGATGATTAAATATAAAGAATTCTCCCTCCATCCCATAATAAGTATCCCTTGTGAACTTCAACTTTTTAAGAGGACATGCAATGAATGCATTGTTCCCCTTTGAAATTCCAAAACTAATCCGACAAAATTTACAGATTCACATTAAAAATTTTGGGACTTAGTGTACTTGCCCATAAAATTAGATCATGTGCTAGTTACATATTTCATTCATAGTGGCAAACGTCTGTGTGCATTATCAGACTTGTTGTTTGACACCACAACTCAGTACTTAATTCTGAGTAGATTCAGCACAACAAATATTTGATTTACTGCGTTTTATAACGCAATAAGAATACGGGGGGGATGCCACTTAAAAAGTAAAATTTTAAGTGATGGGGATTTCATTTATCACTTAACACTTAAAATTTTAAAGAAGTCTAATTCTCAATTTATAATTATTAGTTAAAATTTCAACAAATTCACCCCTTAAAAAAAATTAAAAAATCAGTCCTTAAAATTTTCCATTTTACAAACACCGCCTTAATTTAGATAATAGCATTATGAGGGTAAAACAATTATGGTTTTGATGTTAGCATACTTACAAGAGTGCAACAGGCGCTGCATCACTACCCAGCATTGGGACTCGCAGTCATTCCGATGCAAAAGTAATTTCGTCTCATGATCAATGAGTATTTATGTGAAGGAGGAAAATTTGACAAAAGAGAGGGACACCAACACCAAAAAGCTAATGAATTTGTTCTTTTTTCTTTTTTTTCATTCATAATTGTTACGATAAACGCAACAAACCAAGCAACAATTACGAAACACGGAAGAAAAATAAAAACACCACACAGAGAACACAAAGATTTATACGTGGTTCGGCAAAGCCTACGTCCATGGTAGAGATCCGGTGAAAGTCTTCACTGTGTGTAAAATCGGAGATTACAAGTTTCAGCTCCACACTCTCAATTCTGTACGAATTTCAGTGTCTCTCTCACACCCACTCCAAACCTAAACCCCTTTGTATATTTAGCTACAAAAGAGTACTAATTAGGGTCCACGACCCATGAGCAAAAAGGGGTCAAAATTACAAAGCTCAACAAACGGGTCGTTGCGACCCGGCACCAAATTTGGGCCACAACATCACAATAACAAATGGAAAATCTTTACGATGCAACCATACAGAGAAAAGAGGAGATTTACTGAAGAAAATTTTCAACTTTCAACTACTTCCTATTGTAGATTTCAATTTTCAATTACTTCCTATTGTAGATTTCTTTTGGCTAACATATTCCTTTCTGCTCTATTTTTCTCACATGTTAGAATTCCAAAGTCACAAGGATTATATATGTAAATCAATGGAGGATCTTAGTGATTTTGTTAATAGCTTGAGATTGTAGAGTATATGGTTGGGTGTTGTCTATAAGATTGTTTAGAACAGCCCACAAAAGAGCTTCACAAAAGTTCAAGGTTCACAAAGGATTCACAACCATCTTCATCCGTGACGCTCGGCACGCCAAAAAGAGGTGGCTACTTGTATTTCTTCATTGACTGGGGCTTGGCCTTTTGTATATCCTTGGTCGCACCCCTCTTGAGCGGTTTTAATGTAATTTACGTATAAAAATAAAGAATTATATGATTCCTTGATAACCTATTATTCAGTCATGGTGAAACCAATTGCATCATATCAAATGGCAAGCTAATTGTAAAACCTTTTGCTTCATAGCGTTCTATTTTTCTAGGTGAAGATGTCTATACATAGTTAAGTTCAACTTCTCAAACCTAAAACCATTACCGGTGTTGTTCCCTCATTAATCGAGGGTGTTAATAAGGGCAGACGGGACTACAATCGTAACCATTGGCATTGCACGAAGTGGTCAAGCTTAGTTCAAGCTTTTACCATTCTACCAAGCAATGATCACTACATCAGGTTTACAAAATTGATCTGTATAAATACTAGTCATGCTACCCACTAATTATCTACATTCGACTTCCTATGGAAAGTCTTTTTTCTAACTCAATATAAGAAATTAATAGTCATTACGCAATTCAAAGCTTTTCAACATGCATTAATTCCTATTGCAATGAGGTCAACAAGTCTGCAGCGATTTGCAATTATTAAATGAGTCTATAAAGTTTTATATGGGATACAAAGCCCATCCTATTCTTCATATCACTTAAATGAGCCTATCTGTTTTAGTCATTACTTGATCAAAACAAGGAAATCATCCTATTCTTAATATCACTTAAATGAGCCTATTTGTTTTAGTCATTACTTAATTAAACCAGGAAATTATCAATTAGAAAGCAATGAAGTCAAACAGGTTTTATATCCTTTGATCAAGTTCTTTAAATTACTCTGAACCCAAGAAAATAGAGTACCTAACCGTCTATTTGACTTCAATCAATGATAGCACTTCGATTTTATTGATATAAAATTGCAAATTTTATGTTTCTATGTATACCAATACTGAAGAATCCAACTTCCATCGTACAGCCAAAGCACCAAAGGCGCCATATCATATAGCCAAACAATCAAAAAAGATGAGATTTAAATTTCTAATCAAGAATTTTTCATTATTTAAGCTCAAGTCGTGTTTTCCTCTCCTGGAAAACAAAATATGATAATTTACATATAAAATTAACTTTTCTTTTTTCCTTTCCTCAGAATTCTCAGCAGCCAAACAGATGGTAATTGTAGTATTCTTGATATTTCATCATTTAACACACACACACAGAGAGCAAATGTTACGAGAAAAACCTGAATCAGAATAGGACCAGTGCTAAAATTTACCCATACATACATAAATGCACATACACAGTTGATGCTAAAGCTTACCATATATATAATATATATATACACACATACTATGTATGTAAACAAGTGATCAGATCTAGAGAACAATTACTCCAAATTTCAATCCAAATCATCGCAAAATTCGAATAGGAAACCCTTAACCTACACCGATTCCAATTTACAGACCAATCAACAGCGATCCTCAAGAATTAAAACAATTCAATTGCGAATACATCCAAATATAATATATATATAGAGAGAGAGAGAGATACATGTACATACAGTCCTCACGCACCTGGATTAACTTCGCAGCGAACTTGAAGCAGCGTTCACGCATTTTGGTGAGCCTTCAAATTGAAAGTCAAATCAATTTCACAGTCTTATCCTATTGATTGATAATACATTTGTGTGTATATATATATATACAAGTACGTGTATATGTATATGGAGATGAGGTGGTGAAGAGATGGATCAGACTCTGTTGATCTGATCAGTTTTAGTTCTCTCTCACTACTGTGCGATGTGCGAGTGTGTGTGAGTATTGTTAATTGAGTCCTCTCTTTTCAATGCTTCCTAGTTACTACTGATGGTCTTCTCTGACAATGTTCTTTCACCCCTATTAATAACAGTGTGCATCTCTCAAAACACTCCATAATTCGCCTATGACTCGTAGGCTCTGTTTGTTTCTGACTTAAAATATTTTTTTTTAAAAATATTTTTTTTTAGATAAAATATTTTTTATTTATTTTTTAAATTAATTCTACCTACACCCCCTAACATTTGCTTATATTCCACTTACATTTTCTTTCCGTTTTATAATTTCACCTACACCCCCGGTCATTGACGGCCGTTCACTTTACTAACGGAAATGTATGATTTTACGATATTACCGTGAATTATATATTAATATTTATAATAAAATATATTTGAAACTGAAAAGTTAGAACTACCCTTTAATTATCCGGTACCAAATACTCTACTTTTGTCTCCATTTGTTCCATTTATGTTGAACACATATGCCGCCAACCAAAATGGTTGGCATGGGTCATTAAAGCTCGTTGCTAATGGAGCTTTCAGTTCAGTTGGGTCATCACAGAAGCTTCCAATTCGGTTTTCCTTTGATCGTCTGAAAATCACCGAAAATCAGTCGCCTAAGGTCCTGTGCACTCGTCGGCGTCAATAGATGTTGAAGTTCTAAGTACCGCCCTCCGCGTCATCGATCAACACCTAACACAACTCAATACCCAAACAACCAAACAAACCCAACCTCACAGTCCTTCATCACAATAACTATAGCCATCGATTTTACCGGAATATGTTATTTGCCATTGGCGTCGCTATTGGTTGGGTGGGGATGGTGGTGCTAATTACTGGGATGGAGATGGACCGGATGGTGTTGCCGATTGCGGGATGGGGATGGATGGTAGTGCTATAGTGGTGGTTACTTGTGGTTAAAAGAGAGTGTTTATCTTTTCTCTTCATTTTATTTCAACTGTCTACTGTGGGGGTTGGGGATGGTGGTTCCGATTACGGCATTTTGATCAACTCCGATGGCGATGCTTTCGGTTTGGCTCGCCTTTGTATTACCCATCGCCGGGGAAGCAGAGACAATCAGGGCTTGAAAGTGCTATTGGAGACTCCGGATTAAAGTGCGAAACGGAGGATCGGTGATTGGTTTGCGATTTTAGGGAGATCAGTAGTGTTTGTGGGCTTCAAAACAGAGGACGATTCATGAAAAGACAACCAAAATGACGTCATATCGATGGTAGTGATGATGGTGTTGCCGCCACTCCGCTGCCGTCTGTGATGATGGTGATGCGGCGACCGTTGCTGCCGTCGCTTCCTCTCCTCTACATCCTTATATATTTTGTTTGAAAGATACCCATTAGAATTTTCATCAGATTGGGATGGATTGTACGGTGGTGGAGACCGTCATCACTGAGATTTGCAAAGGTTTGTCAATATGAGGGCACGTTTGAAGAAGGTGTTATGGGTTCGGTGATATGATGACACAGTTATCCTTTTGAGTTTATAAGTTAATGGTAATTTTGTAAATTTGCATTGGTCAATGAGGTTTAAAATGTCATTTCAAGTATAATAAGCGCAAAATTGACCTTGTACCGATTTATTCATGCTGACACCGTCAGTTGCTTAACGGCACGGGGTATTTGTTACATAGACCAAAACCTCAAGGGAGGTAGATGGAATTATGAAACGTATAGGGGGTGTAAGTGGAATATAGGCAAACGTCCGGGGGTGTAGGTGGAATTAACCCTTTTATTTTATTATTTTTGTAATTCCAAAGGCGAAACTTAAGAGTTTTATGAGATGTGAACATGCTGCAAACGTAAAATGACGTTTTGATCATCAATGACTTCTTTTGAAGAATTATATTCCAATTGGAATGCCAAGGCCATTCTTTGTACCACCTCGACCTCCCATTGTTTAAGCAAATCATGGGGCTTATGTAGAGCCAGAGTGTGTTTTAATGAATAAAAATTGAATCTTTGAATAAAATTACCTCCATCAAGATTCATACAGAAACAAAATGAGGGGCTGAAACTTGTAATCTCTGATTTTACACATATTGAAGACTTTCCCGAGAATTTTTTTTTTTTTTTTCCCCCGATATACCCAAGCAATAACAAGAAGAGTGTTTTAATGACCAAAGATTGAATCTTTGAATGAAAATACCTCAATCAAGGTACCTGTCATGTCGCGCGGTATTACTCCCCGGTCCCACGAAGTGGTGATACCTGAAACGACCAATGTAGTCTCGCAATGACTCTCTTTTGATTGAAAAAAAAAAAAAAAAAATGGAAGAAGGAAGTCGTTATGGAATAAATTATTTCTTTTGAGCAATTTTTCTAAGTAAGGTGGCTTTCACTCTAAAGAGCCAAGAGTTACTCTTTTGACATTTCCAAAGCCGAGCAGAAAACCTTGTTACGACTTCTCCTTCCTCTAAATGATAAGGTTCAGTGGACTTCTCGCGACGTCGTCGACAGCGAACCGCCCACGTCGCCGCGATCCGAACACTTCACCGGACCTTGTAAACTCCAAAGCTCACGTAAATTCTTTGGTGGCGGCATCTTTTGAATAGCCTCAACTTTATTAGGATCAATCTCAATACCACGATGACACATTCAAGTTTCACCTAGCTAGGGTTGTATAGAATCAATCTCGAGTTATTAGGTGCCTTTATTGCACCTAATTCGTTTATTTATTAGGTATTATTTTTTTAACGATGGTGGAGTTATCAAGGGCTCTATAATTCACCATCGGACACGTGAATGGCCCAAATAATGAAGATATAACTCAAGTTATTTAGGTTCGATTTATTAACTAGAAAGAGGGAAATATTCAAATTTTATCTTGAGAACTAAAGGAGTGAGAGGCACAACATGAACTATCCATGAATTGGTAGTGATTACTTGTTGTAGTGTATGAGTATGTTTTCGTCGATGAAGATCTAAGGAGGAAGCCAGTTACAGAAAAAGCCTTGAGGATGAACTTCTACATCAATGCATTTTCTTGGCTACAATGAATTAATAATTGGCCCGATCCATGGACCCAATTCAATTAATTCATAAATTAATTTCTACTCCACTAAAAGAAATTAACAAGGCAACAATAGTTCGGTCGACCGAAGTGGACCCCTATACCGATCGACCGAAATGGCCATTTCGGTCGGCCGGTTGTGAACTAAAAATGTCCTAAGGCTGGTTCCATTTTACTATGTTGGGACTGATGGATGCCCAAAAGAAGAATAAAACAATTTCATTTAACTCCTATCTTTTTTTTTTTTTTTTCCTTCTTATTTTCTAACGTTTGGTTGCCGTAAAATATTTACGAAGAAAAAATATATTAAAATTTAACACGCTTCTTCTTCATCATCATCATCATCATCCCTTTTTATTATTTTTTTATTTTTTATTTTTTTTTGGGCAAAGTAAGTAGGTACTAAGGCTAAAGAACAACAATGATATCCAAAACATGCATCGCCGAAGTATCTATTCCGGTCGGCCAAAATGGTGGCAGTGGTTCATGTTATTACGTAGTTATATTACAGAAAATAATTTTGCAGTTGATGCCAATGACATACTCTTCAACATATGTGAATTTGAGAGTATTCGAAGATGTGGTGATAATTCTATATTCTTGTGGATTACTGGGTTGTGAGAGGATTTTTAGCGCTTGAGATTCTACGTTCTCTTAGCGCAACATATCCATGACCCTACGTAATCTGGACTCTCTTTTAGATTTTTGAATGAAGAAGTTGAATCCTTGGGAGCAAGAGTTAGGCAAGCGCCAGACCCCGATGAGTAGGAGGGAGCGACGGTCGTTGCAAAACCCTGGGCACGAGCCGGGGCAAAGCGGCCGTCGGAGGTTGAGGTCGAGTCCATCGGAGCATGTAAAATAACTTGCCAAAAATTGATGGATAAGTTATTTTTATTAAATTTTAATATTTTTGTTTTCGTAAATATTTTACGACAATCAAGCATTAGAAAATAAAAATATTTTACATCTAATTTAAAAAAAATATTCATAACCTACCACCAATTTCATAATCCACCACCAAGAGACCCTCCTAAGAACGGACCCAAATAAATATATGAGTAAAGCCAGCTTATATATATGTGTGTGTGTGTGTGTGTGTGTGTGTGTGTGGCGTGCAAGTTTTTTTATAAATTCAAGGGGGGTAAAATTTAAATTTTATAGGTATATAAATCAAAAAAACAAAATTAGTAAGTACAAAATGCAAAAAAAAAAAGAAAAATTAAATTTAACTGCCGTCTCCCATTCCACCTGTACTAGAAAATTACCGAAAAGCCCTGGAACATATATATATATATATACCCACATGTTACACCTCCTACTTTACTAACAAACTTAAGAAATGTATTGGTAGGGACCATAGGGTACACCAATATATATACTATTCACATATATATACTATTCATATATATATATATATATATATATATATATGAATAGTATATATATATGAATAGTATATATATGTGGGAGGAATTTAGGTGTGTCTTGGACCACCAAATGTTGGTGTACCCTACCAATACATTTCTCAAGTTTATTAGTAAAGTAGGAGGTATAACATGTGGGTGGTGGATCATGTTTGTTCATTGTCTAATGATAGAATTGGTAGGAGGGAAAAGCGGGAAGAAAAGGATAAGATGGGCATGAAGCGTATGGGTGCTTCATGTTTGGTAGAAGGGAAAGGGGAATGAAAGGAGAAAGTTTATCCCTCCAAGTTTACTATTTTGAGAAATAGTTAAATTTAACGTTGAAGTTACAAGCTTACTATAAACTGAGGATGATTTTAATGAAGAACGACATTTGTATGGTTCGCTGTTGTTCATCATATTCAGAGACTCCAGAGTGTTCGTTAAGGTAGAGATTCGATAGAGTTTTGGTATTCTATTCGTCTCGTATTCGAAATCACTTAGTTTGTGTTTGGAAATACCGAAATTAAAAAAATAATAATTCTAATCTCAAAACCCTAATTTGAAACTCCCAAACATAACATATAGTATTTGTGACTTTTTTCTTTTTTTTTTCAATCACTAACAAATCAGTCAAAGTTAACCAATGGTCAACCTTAGATATATTGTAAGTAAATTTTAATCATGATTAAATGACAACAAATGCTAAAAAACACACACAAACACACACACACAAAATTAATAAATCTTATATAAACACTTTTTATTGTTTTATTATATGCTCTTCATCTTATTTCATATTCAAACAACCAAAATTTCTCAATCACTATATGATCTCAAATGGAGAGGTCAAATGACAAACTCTTTTTTATATATTTTTAAATTAATTTTCCAGACAAGCATATATCTTAGGTTTCTCAAAAAATTTGGGAGGCCATGGTCCCCCTTGTTCCATACTATGGTCCGCCCCTGCCTACTCTCATAATTCAGCAATATTTCACTTGTTTTGGAAACAAATTCTAAGTACATCCAACCTCTCCCACTCCTTTTGAAGACCGAAACCACATAATTTGAATTTTAGTGGGTAAGTGCAGAAAATATTCTAATGTATATTTTGCGTATCACTTTCACCCTATTTTAAAAAGTGTGCGAAAAATATCTTTATTCTTTTAAATTTGTGAAGAAACACCCCTCGAGCAGAAATATGACATAAAGTAATGTTGTACAGAAAATGTTCAAGAGGGTGTATATACTAATAATCTCATAGTATAGGGATGTTATTTGCACATTAACTATATTTAACCCACTTTTTAAGGATTTTCTGTCACCTTTTTAAAAAAATAATAATAATCTCAGTATATTTCCGCAAACAGTGTATATATCTCTTAAAAAAAAATTTGTTGTCACAATTATCAAATTAATGTAAAGTATATCATATGGAATGAAAACTTCAATTCCTTTTATAATTATAAAAAGAAAAAAAGTATTCCCAATTAAATTTTAATATAGTTATCAATTTTCATTAAATATATAATTAAAAAATTAAATTAAAGATACTTATTCTTTTATATATAAACAATACATTTAATTTTTTAAACTTTAGAATGTGCAATAAATTTTCACAAATATATATATATATATATATATATATATATATAATTATTTGCATAGTAATAAATGGGTATTCAACCTTTATTGGAAATAAATAAATGGGTGTTCAATCACTCACTGTCATCATACTATTCAAATAGCGATAAAATTACGTTCTCAATTAAATCTAACAGTTAAAATCAAAATATTCAAAATAACAATAGTTTATAAAGTACGAAAAACACTCCTATAATATGTTTAGGGTGCGTATCACACCCTTCATGTACTAAATGACCATTTTTGTCATTTCATAAAATGATGCATTTTTAAATAATATGTAAAATGTGTATATAAGGGCAATTTCAAACTATTTACACCAAATTGAAACTTTATGAGTGTTTTCTACACATGGAGTGTCTGTAAGCATACTATAAGGTATTTTATGCACTTGACCCAATTTTAATCTACTGATATGTCTAAAGAAACCGTGTTTACACAGATTTATAGTTCTTCTAAGGCGTTAGAGCCCTAATCTTTTTTGGAAATGCATAATGATGATTAGAAGAGATCAACTGTTTGTTTGAAGACTAAAACTTGCTACTAAATTTTAATCTACTGGTGCATCTAGTTTTTTTTATTTATTATTATTATTTTTTTTCCTCTCTCCTTATAACACGTGTATCGACCTCACAATACACGCATGTGTATCAATATGTCTAATTGATTATGCAGGCTTGTGATTAAATTAATGTTATATTTTGTTGCGGTGTATGCATGATGCAATGTGTTCTTTTATACATCTAATGAAAGTTATATTAGATTAGGTCATTTGTATGTGGTGAATATTTTCATACAAGTTTTCCTTTTAGGAAAGTTCGAGCAAACACATGGATAATGCTTAGTGCTCATCGCATATGTGGCATAATCTTGACACATCATTTTTTATTGTCAATAAAAAAAATCAAAATAAAAAAGAAATGGAAGTTAGGTCGACCAATTTTATTGATGATAACGCATAACATGATTGTGTCATACATGCACTAAGGATAGTGTATGTCCAAGTGAAGACTTAAGGTCCCACACATAATAGACTCGAACACAACCTTTAATACGGAGAGAATGGATCAAACCATGCCCATTGCTACGCCTACATTCACAACAAAACCTTATTAAGGAAAAGATTTAGATACTAGTACGGTCTTGATGTATCACTTCTTTTATGTCATATCATAGTTTCACACAAAAAGAAAAAGAGATTTTAGAGCATCTCCAGCAGTCTGTTAAAATACTCTTTTGTATAAATAATGTGTAATTTTTTTTTTATCTCCAACAGTGTTAAGATATACTGTCACGTCACCAATGTGTAAAATTATTGTATATTTTATACAACATTTTTACACAATCACATTAGCATATTTCTTTTCCAGTCCTTCTTTTTCATTCCATTGATGAATCAACCCTATATTAAGTAGGTTTGTAAAAATTATGTAGCGTCCAGACATACATTAGTTAGTTATTATTAAGGGATATTTTTTATGCAAAATGTATAAAACAACTACTGAACCTAAAAATAAATAATTCAAATTTTTTGTATAAATCTATTGTGACATATCATATTTACAAATATATATATATATATATATATATACATAACGGTTGAAGATCCTCTTATATGTCTTACCCAAAAAAATATATATTTTTTCAATGAAAACCTACGTGTCAATGAGCTTGTATTTTGATGTAATTATATATTTTATTTTTTATATTTTTCGTTATTAGTCCAACTCAACGAGCATCGCTTTTGATAAAGAGATTTGCCTTCTCACACTGCATTGTTTGGATCCATATTTTACATACTACTAGTCTATGGCCATTTCTTTTGGCTGTGGTTGCCCTGGGAGGCGAAGAATTATAGATACAGAAAAATGGCCGGTAATAGATGATAATCTGCTACAGTACAGTACAATAATTCAAAATATAATTATCTTGAGGTGCAAAGTCTAGTTTGGATTTTAAAAAACGATATATCTCTCGGACCAAGCTATGGACCTATGGTTATCTCATCAGATTATTTCTGTAACACATATAATACGAAGATGATTATACAATGTGATACACAAGCGATAGAAGTAGATATCACAAAATTCTTATATAGTATGGAGTTATATAGATAGTTAAATATTTTATGAACATGTAGTCATTGCAATGTGGAGAAATAGGCAACTAAATATTTTTATCATTTATAACTTTTTTTTTCATATCTTCTCCTCGTCTGCATTAATCACAGCCATCAATTCTGCATTTGATAATTCCTGTGAAATTTTCCGAAATAATAACGAACTATATACCTAAACAATTTGAGTGTAATAGTTGAATGGGATAAAGGAAACAAAATAAATGGATAAAGTCATGCTTATAGTAATATTATGAATTTTTTCACTGTCAATCAAAATAAAAAAATTTGATCCAAACTATATATCAATAGATTTAGGGTAATTTACACAAAACTCCCATTTAGTTTGCCATAATTACAGGGACTTCTCTTCCAATTTCAAAAATTACGCGGACCTCCCCTAAAAATAAAAATATCCTGACCTCCCTTCTATTTTCAATAGATTTATTTTATATGCATACAAAATCATATATATATATGTTTATATATTTAATTTATTTTGATTTTAAAATATCGCATTATATATATATATATATATATATATATATATATATTTCCATTAATTTCATTCTAAAACATATTATTACTCATTTTTTTAATATAAAAAGACTAATAATTAAACTTTTTATATAAAGATGGTAACATATAATTCATAAATAAATTAGCAGTGTGGCTTTAAGAGCATCTCCAATGAGCTCTCAAACTCAAAATATAGCAGATAGATGAAAATAAAACACTCCAATGGCCTTTCAAAAGACCTCTCATATTTTGAGATTCTCAAATATAACAGCTCTCAAATGGCCTCCCAAACTTAAAATATAGTAAGTGGATGAAAATAAGCACTCCAATGGAGACTCTTAAAATACCTCTCATATTTTGAGATTGTCAAAAATTGCTAAAATAAAAATAAGGCACTTCAATAGATTCTCAAGTGTCAAAAAATAGTATTTTGAATGAAATGCAGCATTGAAACAGAATTATAAAAATATGACATTTTGACACGGTAACTCCTCTCAAATTATAAATTTGTCATTAAAATATAACATTTTGCATTCAAGATGCTCTAAGAGACCCAAATTAAATTCGAGGTGTTTCAGAATCCCAAATTACCAAGACAGACTTTAATTTTAAAAATTAAAATTAGACCCCAATTTTAAGAAAATTTGTGACAAGACCCCAAAGCTTTAGAAAAATAGCAATAAAACTTCAACTCCATTATTTTCTAAATATTGATTAAATTCTCATTGTATATTCCACCTGGTACCAAATTCGTTTAAAACAATTGTATGAACCTCATTGGCAACAATAGTGTGTCCATCTATAAAAAATATGAGAGAGAGAGAGATAACATAACCAACAGACAACACATAAAAGTGAAAATTGTTAGGCAAACACAAAAATAAGGCAACACAAACATTACTGAGAAAATAAGTACTGTAGCACCTGAGACGGGTTAAATAGAATCTTGAGGCAACACATTTGACCCTCATCTACCCAGATGGCACCCCTAAACAAAACCCAACCAGTTCCTATGAGCAATAAGTTTCTCTATGCATCCCAGTATCCAAAACATACTACTTTCAAGTTGGTGGCTTCACACAGTTTTCTTCTCTCAATCAAACCCAATTACAGAAAAACCCTAATGTCCACCATACCACAAACATATGCTCACCACTACTGCATGGCAGACCGATCAACAAAAAATATATATAAAGTATACGAGGCAGTATACATCATCACTGATTATATTTACAGTTCAACGAAAAGAAGATAACTACCTATAAACCTATAACATCTCAATACCCAGCTCCGTCAACAGCAAGAATGAGGATATCCATAGCACCTCCTGTGAGCAGAACCCCATAGAAGGGGCACCCTTGTTAAAATGGTGGTGTTATGTATTATAATTGATACAATCCGCTCCATCCCTTCTTTTCTTTGGTCCTATTCCGTCCGTTTGACTAAGTAGGATTAGAATTTCTTCAGCCACCAAACAGTAAGTACATTAATGTCTTCATCACTCAGATAAACTGGAGCTCCTCCTCGAAGGTCTTCCAAAATGGACCTTTTTTGTTTGGAACTACTTTTTCCGTTCCTGGAACTTGGTTACACCAGATATTCAGTCTAGTAAAAGTGATCTTCCAGCAACCAGCAGATGAATCTTCCACTATGGTAAACAGACCAAGCCTTTCTTTTTTTTTTTCGAAAGGTTAGAGACCAAGCCTTTCACTGCAAAGCATTCAATAAGATAACAAAGTATCATCTATCACAGCAAAAGGCAACTTTTGGCAACAAACTACTTATGGTTAATAATGCTGATAAGAAAGAAGATCCAGTTTTCATAAAGACAACTACAAAATCAATATCATTTATTGATTTCTTTAAGAATTTAGTCCACCTCACATTTGAATCTTGAAAAGAATCTTGCAGGCAACCGGATTGCACAAAAACTATTTAGTCTTCTTTTCCTGTACAGAAAGTCAACACTGTTTGAAAAGGACTTCTAAAAGCAGTGCCCAATTTCAGCTTCATTTTTTGTCGGTTTTTACAAAAGCCAGATATCATTCAGAAAGAAAGTTACACTTGTCTTATCCGGGCAGATTCCCGGGAGACCTCAAATCCAAATGTGTAATACTTCAACTAATTAAAAGAAACCATTTCGTAAATCATTCCAGGAATTTTCAACATACACCCTAAGCCTACATTCACAATTGGTAGATTCAATATTTGTAAACAAGTTAAAATCAATATTATATATATTTTTTCAAATATTTAAAATGATGTCTGGTCGAGGAGGAACAACTGTTCATAAAGAGGTTGAGGTGGGTTTTCATACCTGACCCAACATAACAAGCAGTTAAGAACCTCAATCCAAACCATTAAATTTGGTAAGTGGATTGACAGGTTCGTAAATTATTGCCATCTCTACCAATTATGTTCCCAAGCCACCTTTTGGCTCCGCCTATCCCCTTCCCTCTGATCTCTCAAGCAATTCTTAATCGACCATACTAAATTGCTTTTCTTAATCTCTCCTGTTTTATTACCCCCCTCTCTAAAATTTACCCGTTCCTCCCACTGCATTTCATTTCATTTCAAATTAAAATTCCACTTCATGTCATCATTTAACAGGTGTAACCAAAACAATAGGAATAGTCGTTCTATTACATATCATTTTATACCCACAATAAATGGAACAGTAATGATCATTCCATTCCTACAATTCCATTTCATTCCACATTGCATTTTATACTTACTCCTTGTGTACAAAATGTAACATTAGGTTTGCACCCTTGGTGAACTTAATATGATTAAGATCTCTAATTCTCCACTCCCTTAACTTTGCAAGTTAGCTCTTCCATACTTTGCATGTCAGTCCTCACATGATCTATACTTGATTTCTATTACTATTTTTTTTTTGAACATTATTTTTCGTGTATATTATATGTTTCACAACTCTAATTAGGGCAGGCATGTTTGGCAACTGTTTTTGTTTCATGTTACTGGTGTTCTACTGTATGGAAGCAAAACACCGAAACGCATTTGGTAACTTCTATTGTGATTTGAATAGTATTGTGTTTGTTGCCGAAAAGAGGCCCAAATCGGATACACCAAACTAGTGTTTCTTAATGTTTTCGCACTATACCAAACAAACTATATCGGTGAACAGTACAAAAAACACCAAAACCCCAACAAAAAAAAAAAAAAAAAACTCTAGGTGACATTTTCTAACTAACCAATTTGTTTGTCAATCTTGCAACATTTTTACTAAGCACGTTTTCATGGTTTTGCTTCCAAAAATCTTACAACAAACTTTATGTTGCTTCTGTTGGAACATTTATATATATATATATATATATATATATATGTTGGGTCATGTTGTAAGTATGTATAGTTGGTAGGGTCAGCTTCCAATCACTATTTGAACACACTCCACAACAAAAACAATGTTTCTATTTAGGATGAAAACAGAAACGCAAAACAAAAATGGTTGCCAAACAGGCCCTAAGGTTAATGTTTCATAACTTTCTTAATTTTCATGTGTTAAGATGTAAAACATTTTTTTTTGGGTAAATTATAGTGACACCCCGTGTGATTTGCCCTGTTGAGTATTGACAGCCAGATACAACTTCACCCATTTTTTGACAATGACAACCCATGTCAGATATTGGATCCAAACAGCCCCTAAAAAGATGTGAAAAGTGGAGATTACCCTTCATTAGATTATTGACTTTTATGTAAAATATCAAGAGACTTAAATGACGGAATTGCCCTTGATGCATTATTAACCACTATTTCTCTGTCTAAGCTCTGATCTCGTTGGTGGTGGCAACAACAACAAAGCTGGTGGTGAACCCAGTAGCAGGGATGATCAGACGAAGATGGAATGCGAGTGTGAAGGGCATGTTTCAAAGGGTAAGAGAGTGGCCTATTTCGATTTCAAAAGTCCAAGCAACAACTCCAGAGAAGAGACCTTCAAATCTAAATCGTCGAATTGACGATCGTCACTGGTACTTTCCCTCTCTCCTATCAATCTCACCTCTCTCGGTTGTAGGATTATCTGAGTTATTGAGAAGAACCCCTAATTTACGGCTACACCGCCAAGACCAAGACCACTCTTACCGAAACCCTAATCCACTACCACCACTACCTGGCCATATTCAGAGCACCGATTGTCACTGCCAATTTCTACTTTTTTGGGGTTGGTGTCTTTCCTGACAAAAGAAACGGGCTTAGCTTGGCACGATTTGGGCAGTTGAGCAGCATTGCTGATTCATCTAAGCCTCCATTAGACCTATAGCTCCGTCGATTCCAGCCCAGGGCTCCAGCAACCCCACTGATACGTCCTTGTGTCCTTTACTCTCATTCTTTCTATCTCCCTATATAATTTATTTCTTTCACACACTGGAAACTAAGGCATAGTTATACATCTGCGTGTGTGTGTGTGTGTATATATATATATTTACTGTACTCATACAAAATTTGTTGTGTTGTGTCCTTAATGGTATTAGTCATTTAGTTCTAGACTACCCCACATTCCCAACTTCCACAGCTTAAACTCTCTCCCAATTCTAGTCATCGTGATGGACCAGCTGCGGAAATGTTTTCACTTTAATACAATAATGTACCTTAAAACATCTAGAAAAAGCCCAATCACAACTCTGGTCACCAATTGAAGTATAGTCCACTCACATTTTTTTTACTTTATTTCCAATTCCAGTCACCATGAAGGAAAGTCAGTCCATGCTTTTGTTGATCAATATGTAAATCTTTCTGCAATGACCAAAACATTGAATTTCTGTTCCTCAAGCATTTCATTCTACAAGTCGGTATCATCATTTTCCAATTTATACATAAAACCAAATAATAATAATAATAATAACAACAACAACAATAACCATTTACAGAGAGCAGAGGCATACCAGTTATAACAACTAAGAACCCGAACTTGACTTTTGAACCCACACTTGTTTCTGCATTTACATCATAATTAACCCAAACAATTAGCAAGAAATATGTAATCAGAACATAGGAACTGCTTGTGCAAATTTGACAACCAAGAAATTATTGGCATGCACACCTCATGGGAACCATAGCCAGAAGAACCTCTTTTTAAGGGCTTCCCCTCACTCATTACGGAAGAACCATCACCATCCTTCAAATTATGTGGTGGTCCACGGCGACCACCATGTTTATAGGAGCCTGCAGATATTGCAAAAACAAGAGTTGCGGTATGCAAATCACACAATCAAAGAAAGAGAGGAGGGCCGGGGGGGCGGTGGGTTTCATATGTAGATGATGCATTCCTTATATATGGGGAACTCATTAACAGTGCACCTCCCTGTTTATATGCATATCAGATTTTCAAAGACGACTTACCATTATCAAGAGAGGAATGACTGACGCGTCCAAGGGTTTTAACTTCTCCACTCCGTGCATTTGACATGTCAGTTCTGAATTCTCCTTGACTACCTGAAATGTGTAAGCACATAAGTATTAAAACTCAATCAAGAGCAACGGCATCTAGACATGTACTTTTGGCAAGATGAATTGTAAATTCATTTCCTTTTTTCCATTTGTATGAGTGCCGTTTTCATGTTCAGTAGCGAGTCTAGTGACCATACCTTCTGTGGAATCAAGTTGTAATTGGGAAGGTTGAGAAGTAGAGGATGACAAAGACTCATCACTTGCATGTGATCCATCTGAACGCCGAAGAGGAGTCCAAACACCACGATCAGGTCGGTCCTTATTCCTCGTACGCTTCTCCTGTTTCTCGCCAGAGAAACCATGCAAATCATTTCCAACAGCTTTATCTTCGGATGCCCCATTTGTATCCTTCAAAAACAATTGCAAATTTGGTGGTCGAGGAGGTCTTTTGTCCTTTTCCAGACTTGAGGTCTGGATTTGCTGTTCAGCCTGAACCACAGATGACAACTGACTTTGATGTCCATCCTTATTTTGAAGTATGCTTCTGAATATCCTTCCACTAGCTTCACGTCGCAGGTTCTGTTTGAGAGGAGTAGAACCAAGTGAGTTCTTACCAGGAAATGTTGCACTTTGCATGCCACCAGTCACCTGCATGGAGAATGGAAAACAAGCAATAAGAAATTGTTTCGCAATGGAAAAAAAAGGAAGTCACAAAGTTTTCATTATTCCCACAGGACCAGCAAGCAGGCTAATTAGGTATACCATATGATGCAAGACATGTACAAATACACATCCAAATTTTGGACACATTTTAAATTGACTCCCCGTATCCTAAAATTTGGAATTCGGAGAGGTCAAACACTTGCACCCAACAAGTTCATGTACCATAGGGATGACAAATTTTGAGTAAAATAAGAGCAACCCAGTTGTAACTAGATCAAGCACAAATTAGCATGCATACATGGATAAGCACTTCATCTACAAACAAGTAACACCAATTCCAACAGGGAATCTCAATCAACATAAAACTTTCTCAACTGTTTTGAAAGACGTATTTGTTAAATATTATGCAAGCAAAACAAGTGATCAGCTTGTGGGGATAGTTCTGCATGTCTTCATTCAGTTTGTAATGCAGCCAAGGCAATTAATGTTTTCAACCAACAAGAGGTAATTACATCAAATCATGTGACTAGTGATTGCTATTTCCAAGTCACAATTTGCATTTTCTAATTCTACAATAATTTTCAACCATTTTCTAGATATTCACCATACTGTTCCCTTTCTCTTATTTGTTGACTTGAACTCCATTCTCTTTTTCCACATGATCCTATTGGTACTAAATCAAGAAAATAATAATAATAACACCTATCCAGCCACCATTTAAATTTAGATGCTACAAATAACCACCAACCCAGAACTGTGTAAACCTGAAAAGAATAACAAGTGTTTAGGGTCCAATTCTTACTCTTGGGTGAAAAAAAAATGAAATAAAAAGCTTACATGAGGAATTTCTTTCTCTTTTCCCTTCAAAAGCAGGATTTTCTTCTTCCCGATATCATTGATTCTAGGAACTCCTGAAACAAATTCATTGGTGTATAAAAAATTATTGAAATATTTTTTAAAAATAACAAATAACATCAACAGATATAAGAGCAAATTTATACTCATAATACAGTAGACACTCCAACAATTAAATATGAACAAAAGATATTGCAATCTGAACAAAGGGATAAATGTGAGAGAATGATGACGGCTGACCATATGTCATTCGCCAAGAAACCAAAATGTGAGAGCATGAGGACAACTATAAACTTCAACCAAGGAAACAGTTGCAAGAAGACAGGAAGAAAAATAATATATAAATAGCCAAACCAAAATCTGCACTCAAACAACACTAAGAACATTTCAAAGTAGGTTCTCCTATATCTTACTAATTCAACATGAAGATGCATTCGATATCAAGTCGCTGAAGTTAACATGAACACAAGAAGCATGCGTAATTGAAAAACACTTACACACACACACACACACAGAAAATCTTTCCTTTCTCTGGAAGCTACTCAGACTTGCAGATTCCAAATGAGATAACCAATCAAAAATTTTCAATTATCGAGGACAAGTGAAAAATGGGAACTCTAACAACACTAGTGCACAGATATAATTGACTTCTCTACACTTCTTTGGGTGTTAGAACCCAAAGAGAAACTGGGTCCAATCAAACAGGAAACAATAGCTATTACCCAGTATAGTCTCTGTCAATCGAGGGTATTTGTAAAGGGCAGACTAGTCCATCCCTCAACTTTGGTACTTTTGCACCAAACAATTGGCAACTACACCAAGCAAGCAATACTTATCAAAAAAAAACTACACCAAGCAACGACCCTGACGCGCCAAATAGAGGTCAAATCTACAACTTCTTGCATAAAATTTTTTTTAAAAAGGGCAGCTACCACAATAGGAACATGTGCACTATTAGAAGTACTCTCTTTAAACTGGATTTATTATTTTTTTTATTTTTTTTCAGTTGAGAGAGAGAGAGAGGCTATTGTCCAGTGCTCACACCACCTATTCGTGATGCTTGGAGGGCTACGTCTCTGTTTGTGTGGTGGTGCATTTGGCTGGAGAGGAATAGAAGATATTTTGAGGGCAAGGAGAGGCCTATTTCTTTTCTCAAGTTTTCTATTCTTTCCACTCTTTTTTTTTGGGTTACGGGTAGAGATTATAGATCTTTTGAGGATATTGTTGTTTTCTTGGCCTCTTTGAAGGCTTAGAGGGCTGTTTTCTGGCCCTGTGTTTGTTCTCCTGGGATGCGTACCCCTTTTGAACGCTTTCAATGCATTTCTTACTTATCAAAAAAAAAAAAAGGTATAAACTCAACCTTCTACATTATTTGTAAAAAAAGGTTGCTGAACTTAACCAAACTTGGGCAAACCAAACCTTTACATCAAGCAATAGCCCTATCCATCTAACAGATGGGCCTTATTTTAATGCTCACATGCCTTTCCATGTTCTAATTCTACTTTCCTCACATTCCTATGATGTTTTTTTGCCCTGAAGGTATAAAGGGAATAGAGCCCTTGTTTCTGAAGGCTGCTGGTCTTGACAGCTCCAGAAAAAATATTAACCAAAAGGTGTCGCAAGTAGTATTGATCAATTTTTCAACGGCACTAGAAGCATCTCCCCTGCTGTCTTTTTATGGAAATGAATGACATCCATATCCATTAGCACTGTGGTTATGAAGACAAGGACAGTGAATGATAATGTTTTTAATTGTAAGCTTAAATGAAATTATTTCCAAAAATTACTGCTAAAGAAATTGAAGGTGAACTAACATCTACAAGGCTCTCACTGGTATTATTGGTTCAGAACCATCATAAGCTATTTGAGACGCTTCTGTAATGTCTCTTGGGTGCAATTGGATGAAGGAATTTGGGAGGGTAATTTCCTCATTTGGGTAACAAGTTAGATTATTTTCTAACGAGCACTTTTAGGGGGATCGAAACAAAGAGATATAATTTTAATTTGGGCCCACCACATCAAATTTCAGGTCAATGAGCATCCAAAATGGAATTCAATCACCCAAGAAACAGAATCTGAATTTCAGTTACAAAAGAAGACTAACAAATCTCGAGGGATAAGATGTCATCCACAAATTAAATCCAACAAACAATATGTTTGCTTCCACATAAAAATAAAGTGCTTCCCGTATCAATTTTTCACAAGAAATAAGAGTATTTTTAATTTATTTTATATGCTTGGTTGAACCTATGAAAATAATTCACCCAATCAATACTAAAAAATGCAAAATATGCACTTCTATAAAGATACAGCCATGAATATATGCGCTTTATAACAGCAAATGTATAGGGCTAGTACATGGGCATGTTTACGAATATATGAATGTGTATTTATGGGGGACAATGATAAAGAGAGATAGAGAAGAATATACAAGAAACAAGATTCACAAAAAATGGGTTGGTTAGGAGAGGGAGGGTTGAACTAGTTATATCTAATTTAATGGCTATAAACCATCTCTTGTGGATGTTCCGGAAAATGATTTTAGAATCCAATTGAATCTAACGTAGGAAGAGCTGAATTATGTAATGGAAGTAAGACATGTATATTCCACTCTATATACATGTACAGGAACATATGCTAGGTGTTGTCTGTGCACGTATATAAACGTATATTGCTATATGCATATACATTCCTACTGTTTAGGCACACAAGTCCAGGGTTTAGTATCTATTAGAAAATGACTAACAGGGAAAAAAAAAAGTCTTGTTCAGGATTTATAAGCAAATTTCATTTTTCCTAAGAATTTGTATAACATTTTACCAGAAACCAACATCTAGAAATGCCAAAAATATTCTCTGGAAAATGTTCTATATTGAAACAACAAAAAGTTTAAAAGAAGAAAAGGCAGTCAGAAATAGAAAACATTAACCACTATTCCCACATCAACCACGTTAACCAACCCCATCCCGAGTATCTATAAAATAATTACTTGTAGAAAATATGCCATTTACACGTTTTGCAAGCTATTTTATTTTTCTAATACATATCTTACATAAGGTGTCTTTTGTATCCATATCTTCGTTTTTCGAAGCTATTTATATATAAAATGATGACCTGTGGTAAATACATCATTGCCACATTTTGCAAGCTATTTTGATTTTTTGTAAGCTTTGGAATGGTAAGAAAACCCAACATTGAGATGCGTTGATCTTATATGTGTAAGATATGTATTTATGTATATCAATAACAAATCATTATACTCGCATGTGCATGGCAGGAATGTTTTCATGAATTAATAACTTTTAGCCTTACAGAACCTGAAATTTTAAATGAGTTGTGAAGTTTTTTATTTATTTTTTCCAATTTTTTTGTTCATTAATCAATTTTTAAATCATTTTATGTTGCTGTTGTTCAAAGAAGGTAGTATTTTGTGCTCTTCATGATTCATATTTTGGATACAGAAAATTGTTTTGGTTGCTGAAATTGAAGTTTTTATACCTAGTATGTGAAATTTTGGAAAAAAATTATATGTACTGGAGAAGATATGAGAACATAAGAGAATCATGAAGTACACAAAAATATTACCTTCTTTGGACAACAGCAACATTAAAAAATTTAAAAATTGATTAACAAACAAAAAAATTGGAAAAATTAAATCAAAAACTTCACAACTCATTTAAAATTTTCAGGCTCTGTAAGGCTAAAAGATATTAATTCATTAAAACATTCCGGCCATGCGCATGCGAGTATAATGAGTATAACAGGATCAAAGTTAAGAATTCCAATATGAACCATACCACTTTCCACTTCCAATGCTTCAGCTCCAGATGCAGCAGGAGTAGAAGACTTGTCGGCAAGATGCTGATCATCTCGTCTAGGAACCAGAATGTACGTAGATTTGTCTTTGCCGCTTGTGCCCTTTGCAGTCTCCCTTAAAACATACTGCCAATCAAACAGGAGAAAAAAATTATCAACCACACTTCCATCGTCTCAACTTTACTTTATGATGCACATCTGTATGGTAACACATAATTTGATAGAAGCAATGGGCAGGCAAACACCAGAGTCAGCACTCAGAGATGATATCTACAAACCACACGTAAGATAAGAAATTGTAAAAGGAAAAGAATAGATTAATGTGGCCTTCTGTAGCCACATCAATTCTTCATTAGACGCATTATTGACACCTTGTAGATCTCCAAAGAAGTATCAATGAAAACTATGGTATCGATGGGGCTAAAGACCGTTATAGTTCGAGCAAAGATCCGTGATCTAGACCTAGGAGGAAGAGGAGGGGGTAGATCTTGTAGCGTTAATAAATTCTAATTTTCTGAATTTTTAAGTAAATTACTGATATTTCAAAACAAACTAAATATTAAATATAGCAATTGTAAGTTGTCATTTGTCCACCAAATAAACTAGTAAAACTTAACTGAAGTATGTTATGTGTATTTAACCACAACAAATAAAAAATAAAAACAAATAAACTAGCCTCAGCTTGGATTGCAAAACTTTCCTCTCTCATCACCCCTGAAGGTGGAGGATGCAACAAAACTTGCTGGAAAAAAAAAAAAAAAAAGGTGTGTGCATTTACTAGCAAACGGAAATCATACGGCAAGCACAAGACCACATATAAGAACACGGTAATTGTAGAGATAAAAACTAGGATCCCACACACAAACTTAACCCTGCCACAGCACATATTTAGGGTCAGGTACGACACAATTCAAATTTCTGTCCTTCAATTCCATAAAGGGTCGAATTCCCTACCTAAAGAATAAGCATGTTGTCTATTTCGCTGCTTTTCATTCCATATTATTATTCAGTGTAGCATAGCCTGAAACCCACCTACTGCAATTTAGAGACAACATTCACCACAGGAACTCTTTCTTAACTGCCTAATTTAGTTCATCAATAACCAATGCAAGATAAGGGCAGAACACTAAACTTTAATGTAAACTTAATGTCACAAAAATTCAATTCTCTATTGCAATTGTTCAATGATATGTAAAATATTTCTCGCATTCAATACTCGTGTGTCAGACATTAGAGGATGGTGGACATAAAAATGCCCCCATATCTATTAAGACACATTTTATTTATCCCCATTAATACTTTGCATGTACGGCACTTCCTGACGTGAACCTCGTTTTGGCATAAAAAAAACACCTACATGACTTATCAAAATAAATATAAAATAAAATAATACCTACATGAACATTACAGACTTGTGCAGTCACCATTATCTATGCCTTTTTTGATAGGATATGCCTTTCTGATCAAGAAACTAGTTTAAAAGGTGTTGTTTCTTCACTATTTTATATTCTTATTTTCTTCAGTAGACAAAAAAGTGCAAGTATTGGGACTAATAGAGGAGAGTCACACGGATAGTGTGCCCTATGCCTAGATCATGAAAAATTAACAGGTCTTGACACCTTGCATCCTAATCAATGTGTGACACTCAAGCCAGCGCCCACTGAACATAGGTCCTCGTTTTAATTACAACATCATGTCATCATTGTACTAATCACTAATAAAATTCTATTTCTAGTTTAAGCCATTTTACCATTAAAATTGACACCAAAATTAAATTAAGAAGGTTTTTCTCCACTAAAAATCATTCCATCAATCATTATAAAATCTTGAACAACTTGCATCAAATGGACTCGAGTACAAGAAAATCTTTTAGGATATAGGGAAAGCATATGACTATTGAAATGGCCATTTATCATTTTTTCTTCTTCTTAACCTCAGGGTGCATTGATACATTGATGTAACATAACATACTTGCAACAAATACATAATATACTATCACCAATGCAAGAGTCGCTCATTCTAAAAGCTGCTATTAATCAATGTGTAGTAGTAATTTTCCCTCTGTTTTTCTTAATCAAACATGACTATCGTAATCTATTCCCATATCTATATTTGTGTCGAACCAAACATAGGAACTTCACGTATATTAAAACGCCTAAAGCAAAATCATCTCAGGTCAATCTTGTGAGAGAAACCACAGTAAATTCGAAACTTAATTTCATGCCTTAAATGTGTCCATGCTTCATGGTACAACTGAGAACCTTACTTTCCTGACAGTTCTAACATAAATTTACTGCTTCTATTCTTTATGGATATCAAAGTTCTGTAATAACCAAGTCCATTTCTATTATTGTCCCTTATCATGTTGAATTAGTGTACATCTTCTCCAAATCCATTTAACACTGGCATCTCTATCTCTACATCTTAACAAAAAAGAAAAGTCAGCTTGGGATGCGTCTCCATTTGAGGGCCTTTTAATGAATATTTTCTTTATAAAAAAAATATATATAGAAAGGAAAACTCAACTCAACATAGCTTTGATATACATACTCATAGCTAGTAACTCAAACTCTTTGTCACAATACTCTGCTCTATCTATGGCCATACCTACTACCTTGGGTTACAGGATATCATGTCCTTGACCACCATCCACACACATGTACTTTAAACTTCCTATTTCTTGTTGTACCACAAACTTGTATCTAGTCATCTTTACCATCGCATTCATTAGCCATTCTTGGCATTTAACCATCTTTATGATTGTACCTCGGCAAAAAAAAATTATAATACTTTACTCAAATATACTCCTCTAAAAAAATAACTAATGCACCATGAATACCACAGTAGACTACACGAACACCTAGTTCTATAGCAACACTTGTCGGAGTGAGAAAGACTAAACAGACCCAACAACAACCAAGCCTTTTCCCAATTATTTGGGGCTGGCTACATGAATCTCATGTTTCCATTCTGCTCTATTTAAGGACATAGTCTCGGTCAATCCACATGCTACCACCATATCTTTCTTTACTAACTCTACCCACGATAACTTTGGTCATCCTCTTCCCCTAGTATTACCAACATGGACTATGTCACTTTTCTGAACCAGCACACTTTAAGGTCTTCTTTGCACATGTCCAAACCATCTTAACCTTCTTTTGGTGCTACTCCAACCATCACCCGAATGTGATCATTTCTAATTCTATCCTTTCTTGTATCACTGCACATCCATCTCAACATTTGCATTTCTGCCACACTCACTTTATGCAAATGTTGATTCCTAGCAAGTAGCAACCCAACATTTGGTACCGTACGGTATGACTGGTCTAATAGCTGTTCTATATGACTCTCCTTTCAATTGGAAGGGGGTACGTTTATCACACAATATACTGGATGCACTCCTCAATTTTGCCTTTGGTTTAGAAGGACTAAACAAACCATCAATTCCAAAATACTAAAGGTTGACTGCATGAACAATTTTCTGGCTTAGCTCTATCTACAGCATCCATCTCCCTTGAATGCTTGATATCACAGTTAATCTTGTCTTCTCTTACCATATATATCCATGTTTGTTCCTTGAAATCATGTTTTCATCAAGTCGGTTCAACTTAACAGAATCATTGCTCCTTAATGTCCCACTTAGTAGTGTGCATTTCACATAGCCAACCAAGGCCTAACTTATATCACATAACCACTTATTAGAAAGACTAAACAAGATACAAATGGTGACTTTTGGTGTCTCTAGGCCATTTACATGTGTAGGCATACACATGTGCAAAGTCACATAATACCAGCCATCAATATATGATTAATGTTATGGTCAAAAAAAGCACCGTCATAACATCTATGTCTCTCAAGTATATTCCTCTAAATTCTTGCCAATCAAGGCCTAATTTATTTCAAGATATTAACTCATGGGTATAATCCAAAGGGAGGCAAATACACATGTCACTAAGAGTAAACCTTCACTCGCAAATAAAAGGATTTTTTTTTTTTTTTTTTTTTTTTTTTTTTGATAAGTAAAAATATAATAGAAAAACGTTCAAAAGGGGAACGCATCCCTAATACAAGAGAAAAGATCTAAGGACCAATAGAATCCAAGAGATCAAAGAAATCATCAATCGAGGAGCATGTACTTCCTCTAACATAAAAGAATAAAGAACGAAGAATATGAATTTTTAAATTAGCTAAGGACGATTCTTTTCCTTCAAAGGATCTGTTATTTCTCTCACGCCACAAACACCACCAGACACAATGAGGAACAATCTTCCAATAAGCACGAGCTTGTTTCTTAACAGGACAGCTTTTCCAAGCGTTAATCAACTGAGAGGAGTGCTTAGGCATTACCCAAAAAATGCCGAAAATGCTGAAAATAAAACTCCAACAACCAAACGCCACAGGACAATGCAAAAGAATATGATCCACGGATTCACTATCGTCTTTGCATAAACAACACCAATTAACAATGATGTTGCCTCTCTTTCTCAAATTGTCCAAAGTCAAAATCTTCCCCAATGTAGCTGTCCAAGCGAAGAACGCGATTCGAAGAGGGGCTTTAGAGCACCACACGGACTTCCAAGGAAACTCGGAACCAACGAAATTGGATAAATGAATAAACATAGAGCGGACATCATACCGACCATGAGCCAAAGGAACCCACAAAATATCATCACACCCTCTGCCAATATCCTTCTGCCTATACAAAATATCCAAAAAAGCAGAAACTTCCTCCATTTCCCAATCCTGAAAAGACCGCCTAAACCGCACATCCCACGTAACTCCATTGTTATCAAGATGATAACAATCACAAATAAAAGGATTTAAAATTTCAAAAGCACCAACAAAAGCATCTATGCTTATTCCAGCGCTTAATAGAATCCCAGGCAGTTATAATTCCATAAAAACTGAGGGAAAGGTTTTGAGCTCGCCCAAGTCAAGGAAACTGCAAAAAAAAAAAAAAAAAAAAAAGAATAAAAGAAAAAAAGAAGAAGACAGGTTACCATTGCAGATTGCGTGAAAATCACGACAGGTCGAATGGCATTACATGTATCATTCATTTCACCTTCATAGTGAAATGGACAAGAAAGATGGCTTCTTTGGCATGTTTCACGCTTAGGCTATTACTTGGATTCAAGGAGGCGGATTTAAGGTTAGGACTCCTCATAGAGCACTCGGGATGACTTCTCTCATTGTCTCAGGTTCCCACAGAAATCAATTTGAAGCACCAAAGCACCTCCCAAAGCTTTCTTTCTTCAGTCAGACAGTGACGTTGGAAATGATTCTAATAATTAATAAACTGCAGAAGAGGAAATGATTGCATTTGCAAAGGATGAGGAATTATAGCGTTGTTGAGTAGCCAGGAGTTGTCCCATTCGTATTCTTTATACTGTATCCAGTAGGTGATGCCTGGTTCAACGGTGGACAAAAGGGAACTCCATTATGCCTTTGGTACAGTACTTTGGGAGAGGAATAGGCCGTCTTTCGAAGGAGTGCAATTGCATTCTGACCCTGATAGATAGGATGTTGAACTTTCACTTCTTTAAAATCACAAGGGGATTGTCTACTTTAAATAACTCTTCTCAATGGTTCCTTTTTAAGAATTTGGCAGATATAAGAATTCAGAGTGTATAGATACGGTGTATACAGAATGAGTGAATTGGTGCGCGGTTATTGGTGCTTTTTAAATGATCTTTCTAAATATAAGCTCAAGTGATATATTAGCACCAACCTTTAATGATCCACCTTCACAAATAAGAAATTGTACAAACATGAATGACCAAAGTTAATCTTTTCGTAGCTACCAATAAATGACAGTGGAATTAAAAGGTGAAAAAATAAGACCAGAAGAGTATCAGATCAAACCATAATATCTCGAATAAAAAATGAAATAGAAGCGAATTTGATGCCATACAAAACTACCAAAATTGCAACATCTTATAAAGAAACATCATTTCACAGTATTAAATGCTTTAGAATCATAAAGCAGTAAAATGTATGGAAAACGTAGATACCATGGTCGTAGAAGTCCTTCTCTTTCCCAAACCTCGTTTTGATGAAGCTGCACTAGGACTTGCAGATGATGCTCCAGCAGATCTTCTAGACAATTTCCCATTAGACAAAGATCTCTGTCATAGATTAGACAATTATGTTCAAGACATCTATTACATAATACTGAAAGATGGTATGGCAGCCATCTTACAAGTATATTCCACAGGGCTAATCAAGAAACACATCCAGTTAGAACTAGCAAATAATTAATAAAACCAAAAGATTTAAAATAGAGCATATGCAACAACAGATATATATGGTGCTGATCGGGACATGGCGATCAACACCACTAATCAAATCTTCTAAGGAGGGCAATTGACCCCATTTCAGTGTATAAGAAAGATATTGAATGCTTGACAACAAACCCATCCATTATACTTTCCCCAAATCCATTTTTGCAAAAAAAAATCTGGAGCAAGTCAGCTGCATTTGCTTATGCCCTCCCATGTTTTTTCTTTGCCCTCTCAATGGTAGTACAAAAGCTGAATTCCTAAATGATGTGAAAATCCTAACTGCATACTTTACGAAATATTAAACAGCTTCCAGCATTTTCTTACTATTATGGACAGCTTGGGAAAAAAATTAAAGGATATAACTAAATTCCCACAGCCCAACACTATAATAATAAAAAGGCTTCAAGTTCAATTCGAGCAATTGAACTTGAGTTAGACAAATAAAATCATATAAACAGTTAACAATCAGTTCAGATAAAAAACCAGCATCCAGATCACAACAAACCCATTGACCTGGATGACAACCCTGAACACAAATTTGGTCAAAAAGGGATGAAAAATTATTGCATTAGCCAATTAAAAAGTCGTGTGCAATTGTTCATCATATTCCATCTAGTTAAGCTATATTTCCCAAACAACAACTTTCTTTCTTTGATAAGTACGATTTCAATAAAAGGTGCTCAAGAGGGGTGCACTCCCAAGAAAAAACAAACAAAGCCAAAAAACGGCCTACTACAAACTCCACTGTCAACAAAACCCAGAAGTTTGCCCATAGATTTATAAGTTCGCAATTTACCCAAAAGAATAAAGAACTCAAAATGTTGTATTTGAGAGACCAAACAGGAGACTCTTCTCTATCAAAAGATCTCATATTTCTCTCATGCCACAAGCACCACCATAAACATAGGGGAGTGTGGGCCTCCAAACATCTCTGACTCGACTCTCCACTATACACTATACACCCTCTACAAGCCTCAATCGGGCCACCGTGGAGCAGTGAGACACCCAACACATACCAAAAGCAGCCAAAAACATAGACCCAAACATCCCTAGCCACCAGACAATGAAGGAGGTGGTTCACCGACTCATGTGTCTTTTTGCACATGCAACACCAATTTACCACAATCTGGCACCTCTTTCAGATATAGCTTGTTACATAATTAAACATTTTCTCATTCTAAGATTTGATATTCACTATATAGTTGAGTTGGAAATTGGAATGTTAAACAAGGATAGTATGCAATGAAGTAATTGATTCTAATTTTTAAAGACAGTTACCAAATTAGTCAAATAAAATAGGTTCAGACAACTAATTCATGTGTTTGGTGGTAGCAAAAGAAACCACACACGAATCCCACCTTCAACTGCCCAAGATACTCTAAGCTGTTAGCTTAAGTAATATCTCTTAGTGTTCTAATCACGACCAGAGAAAAGGGAGAGTACATATAGTAATTCATTAAAAACAAAACAAAAATCAGATCCCAAGGTATCCACACTAAAAGGCGTGGATAAACACTGTTCCAACATTTGCTATACTAAATTTAACACCCCATGTTGACCAACATCCACAACCAGCAGCTTCAAGATGTTGCCCAGGCATGAATCCACCAAGGAACCTATGCACCAACAGATAAACAGAATGTGCAAAATTTTCTACAAACATATATATAAGATAAACAATAAAACAACAACAGAAACAGAATGTGCTTGTAATCTGACAGCATAGAAAACAAAGTATTAAATATGGATCCCATGTCAAAATTGCTTCTTTCTATAAATCTTAAGTGTATGGTAAAAAGGTAATAATAAGAACTCTTACCCGAGATCCAACCTTTGAAGCTCTTTTCTGACGAACAAAATCCATTAAGGGTGTAATGATAGGAGCATCCTTTGCCGTGCCTAGAAAAGAAAAAAGTGGGAATAGATAAGTGAGAATAGAATACTAATATCTCCCTCGTGCTACCATCTCCTACAATTTTTACCCTCTCACAAATCTCATTTCAGTTCACAGCATGACAACATATAATCTGATAACATTCTGACTAACCAGCTCGTTCTGCTTCTCTTCTCTCCAATTGTATCTCTGCACTGGGAAGATTCTCAACAGGCTTCGCAAGAAATTCAAGGAACTCCAGATACTCAGGATCTATACATTCATCAAAATAATAATTGTAACTGTAAATAATAAAATGCTGCCACACATGTCACAGGTAATAATGGAAAATGAGTGATTTAAAACCTTTAAATATCGTCCCTTCACGTCCATCTTTTTTAGACCACTGCTTTGGAACTCGTTGTGAAGGAGCATACTCAACAATAGTTTTAAATTGAGTACCTGAGAGAGGGGAAGGTAAAATTTTCCAATCAAATCATCCGAGTCCACAAAGTTCTTAACACAATAGAAAGGAGAGGGGAAAAATAAATTGTAAGATTTTTCCAGTAACCATGGACGGTGTCAAAAATACAGCAACAATACTCCTGGCATAAGGATTACCTTTCTCGTTAACAAAAACATGCCCATCAAAAAACTCAGCGAACTCAACAACATCCTCTGGCCTCTTGAAGTCAATGTATGCTCTAGAATAGGATTGACACTTCTGGCTGCAAAGCAGTTAAGAAAACAATGCACTAAGAGAATATGAGCCTAGACACACAAATGTTTCATATGGCATTTAACTATTACAATCAATAATGATCAAGTTTATTGCAGAAAATTCCAGCTTAAAAGGAAAAAAGTAAAAGGTATTTCCCATTAGGATGAGTATTACCAGTGACATACACTTAAGTAGTTGGTATGACTGTTTACATATAGAAGGCCTAAAATTCATGGTAAATGATTAAAGGGTTTTGTGGAATGTTGTCATAAATGGATTGAGAGATGGGCGGAATTCTACCCACTGACATAAAAAATAGCATTTGGAACACTCAAGGTCAATTTGCATTCAAATTTAACTACAGATATAGAAAACCCTCTCGAAACAAATAGTAACAGACCCTGCGCACTCAGAATTTACAAGGTATATTGTTAATAAATATGTTATGTCAATTCCACGATTCAATGGCAATAAACCCTAGCACATGCATACATGATTATCTGTATTGTCAAAATTACCAACACTAATCTATATATTAGTGTAAACTAGGTGTCTTGGAATATTTATGCGTGTGATTTGTGATGCGTGATGTGTGTAGAGAGGGAGAAAGAGAGAAAGAAAAAAAACTCTAACCTGTTCTTGCCGGAGGGGAAAGAGAACCAGTTATAGCGGTCAGCAAAGCGGCCGTCGATTTGCTCCATGAGCATCGACTGTGAAATCGACGGCGGCAAGTGCCGGAGCACAACCTTCGTCCGATCTAGCGAACCCTTCATGCGTGAACTTCCACACAAGAAAAAAATAAAACCCTAAAATCTTTTATTAGAAACCAAATGAAAGCTTCAGAGATTGATGTTTCAGCCCTCAAAAACTTCGCAATCCCCTTAAAATTACATCTTTATTCTATCGATCGTGGTCGATTTCGTGCCCTAATTTCGAATTCAATCCGCAATTGCCATGCATGAGAGAGTTAGAGGGAGAGTCGCAGAAGAGAGGGAGAGAGAGAGAGAGGTACGACAAAAGAAGTAATGAAAGGGGATTTCGTGTTCATATATATACGGTCGTATCTTCGAGTTGAGTCCCCCTCTTCTCTCGTCTTCTGTGTGCATATATATTGTGTGTATGTGTGTGCACATGTAATCAATACATGTATATACATATATGCAGTATGTTTTTCGCATAAATGCGTATTGTACACGCTGACGCGCCACTCTCGCTGGAAAGCGCAGGATGCGCAGCGCAACACTCTCGTCTATTTTAACTTCACTTTTTTTCTGTTTTTTCTTTTTTATTTTTTCATTATACATGATGTGCAAGTATCCTTAAGACTGCTTTTGGTGGGGAGGATATGAATGGAATATAAATGAGAATAGAATAGTCTGATTCTTTTGTTTAGCTGCAAATGTGTAAGAATGATAATAAACATTATAATGTTTAATTGAACTAATTTAAAATTGAAAATAAAATAAAATTTAAATTGAATTTTTCAAAATTTTTCTCTTGGTAACAAATAAATTAAATTAACAAAATGAAATTCTCTATAAAAAAATAAAAAATAAATGGTGGCATGAATAGCGACTAGAACTCGCCCACAACGTACTCAAGGTGCGGTAGCATCGACAGTAGTGGTGACGATAATGGTAGAGGTGGAAAGCGATAGTGATGTAGGTGGCGGCGTTAAAAGGCAGCAATGGTGGAAGGCGGCAGTGAAGGTGGAAGGTGGTGGTAATGGTGGAAAGTGGTGGCGGTGGTAGTGTTGGAAGGTGGTGGTGGGAGGTGGTGGCGGTGAAAGGCGGTGGTGATGGTTACAACGCTGGTGCAAGGCGATGGTGGCGGTGGCGATAGCGATGGTGATGGCAATAGCGGTGGTGAAATGCGGTGGTGGCAAAAGGTAGTTGCGGCAAAGGAAGAGAGTGTCAGTGGGGAAAGGCGGTGGTGGTGATGGTGGTGGGAAACAGTGGACGATGGTAAAGTTGTTGGTGGTAGTAGTGGTGGTGGTAGTGAAAGGCAGAGGTGGTTATGGTGAAAGGTAATTGTGGTATTTGGACTTAGAACATGAGGGTTTTTTGAGAAGTTGATTTTTTAAAAAAACAAAAAGTTTCTTGGGAATAAAATGGTTATTCCATAGGTTTAATTGTGAAATGGATTTTCATTCTAATGGAATGGTCATTCTCACTTTAAATTACACTAAATAAATGAATAGTTAGATAGGCATTAAACCATTCATTTGTTTTGTATGCAATTTAGGGCTAATTTGGTGCACAAGAATGAAATAGGATGGAATGGAATTTATAATGGAATGAAAATTGAATGTAATTGAATAGAATGACTAATTTCATTTTAGTGTTTGGTTGCAAACGTGGAATGGTGTAAAAAATGGAATGATAATTCTCATTTATGTGTTTGGTTTGACCAATTTAAAAGTTGCAATGAAATGTATTTATATTATTTTCTCCAAATTGCCGTTTATCATAAATAAATAAATTTAACTAAAAAATTAACATCAAAAATTTAAATTGGGGCAAGTGATAGAGAGAGAAGTGCGAGGCGTAAGGAATGCGAGGGTTGAAGATTGGAGCAAATGGGAGGTGTTGCCGCCAGCGAATCTACCTCTGACGGAGGAAGACATGAATAAAGAAAAGAGATAAAGGAGGCGTTGAAAGATTTATTGAAGATGAGGAAGTCGAATTTATCTCCACCAGCAGAAGAAGACGGTGGAAGGAGGCGGTTTCTTGTAGGAGCTCATTGCAGAGGTTTGGGTTATATTGTGTTCTTGTATATTGCACCATCGATAAAGGAGATGATGATGGCAGGCGCCCGGGGGAGGGCGGGAGAGTGTGATACCCCTCGATTCTAGAGTCACGGGTGATCAAGTCCGAACACAGATCCGAGAGATACCAAACAATTAATATTTAAAACGAACACAAAATACAAAATTGAATGTAAAAATAAATATTAAAGCTGAAAGAATTCTAATTACAAAATCCTCAATGGTTATTATTATAAAACCCATAATCCAAAACCTCCATTTATTTACAACTCGGGAATCCATCTAGTGGACCCCTAATAAAATCTCAAATCGTAACGAGAATAACTGAACCAAGTCCAAAGCTAAATATAGAAAGTAATCCTACATAACCGGATGAGTGAGTGTCTGTATCTGCTCTGCACGTCCAAGTTATAATCCTGGAACTGAAGAACACCTGAAAAATAAGAGAGTGAGTCAGGCCCACATGCAAGTCCTGTTCTACTACGATCCATACATAAACCCGATACACAGATACATTCTAGATAAACTCAACAATATCTAGAGTAGTCCATATATGTATAAGTACACACTATAGGACGCTCACTAGTCCAATAGGTCTGTCTCAGCCTGAGTAGATATACCATGCAAATCGCACATAATGTGGTCGTATGTACCTAGACCTACCAGGGAACAACACCTCTGTCCAACTATCCATCCTAGGCGATATACGCACCCTAACCATGGTCCTGAGACTCAAGATCATACCATAGTAACATAACATAAATATATAAAGTCCGTTCCAAGCATGTCATTCAAAAGGTTTATTGACCTAACACCTAGTTATAAGTAAGACTTAACTTTTGTAGTTAATCCATCTTATTTCAATATAGATAGGACTTAGTGTCTGGACTGATCCATCCCCAATATAGGTAGGTCTCAGTGTTTTGAACTGAGTCATCCCTAATATGCCACCGTCCCATACCGGTGCATAGATATCCATATAAGTAGGACTTAACTTTTTTATAGTTAATCCAACTCATTCCAAAATAGGTAGGATTTAGTATTTTACTAATCCATCCCTAGCATGCCACCGTCCCATACCGGTGCATATAATCCTCTAAATAACATACTTGTTAAAACAGTAATTATTCCTTATCAACCACTAGCCAGGATATGTATAAATACAGTTCAATACATATATTAGGGCATTAAGCATTCATGACAAAACCTAAAAATCACCTTCCGAATATTTAAATTGCTAACACGAGTTATAGCATTTAAATCATCCACATAATCCAGTAATTGACACAATTAACAGAATATGCGTATCAATTTATTTCAAACCAAGCATAGATGATTTCAAGAGGTTACTATGCTTATAACTATGTTTAAACATAATTAAACTGTATAAAATTTACATACAACAAAAGCCTCAAAACCTAGCACATAAGTTAATTAACCACAACAGTGTGCCGTTTATAGGTTTTTCCCTAAACCCATCTCGCTCCATCCCTTAATCCAATTATGAATTAATGTTTTCCCCTACTGTTATAGGTATAGTACAGTCCCATACACTATTTAAAACAGTTTAAACTAACCGAGAAAAACCTATTCAGTCCAAACAGCCCCTGAGTGTCAAAATTGGACCATTAAAAATGGAGCAGGCTCTCTTAAACATTGGAGCCTTCTCTAATTCACCTAGAACCGACTCTAGGACCTTGAGAGCCTGCTCCAAGGAACCACGAGCCGGCTCCACTTCTTTGGGAGCCGGCTCCAAGGGTTTTGGGAGCCTGTTCTCCCTCCCTTGGCAGCCGTCGTCTGTTTTCACCTTGTCTCCTTCGAATCCGGTGATCTCCAAGCCTCTGTAATGGGTTTAAATTATTGTTCTAGTGTACGTTTAACACTCTAGATTAATTACTAGGCAACCATATGAATCGTTGATCTCGAATAAGTAAGAATTAAACATGTTTATAGAATAAACCAACTAACAGAAACCTAAAGAATTTTGGTATATCAGTTTCATTCAACGAGATTAATTATCAATTTAAACATGCATAACAGATTGTTTAAGCATTCATTAAACTCCTGGAGTCCATCTAAGCATGCATATATCACGAGTTTAAGGGAAAGAGAAGAATAGAGACTTGCCTTTGAGACTTTGGATTAAAATCTCTAACTGTCATTTCTAGATTTTCAGGCAAATCCATCACCGATCAATCCCTCTATTTCTCCTTGGTTCCACACACGTACAACCCCTTCAATCCTTCCTTGGTTCAATCGTAGCCTAAGGCAAAACCCTATACTTCATCTCTGTATCTCTTTCTGTATTCATCTCTGTAACTCTTTGTTTTTTCCACTATGTGAAATAAAGATTCTGTCTTTTAAACCCTAAGTTGACATATCGTATAGTATTTATAAGCTTCATATATCACCAAAACCTAATTCCTATACTAACCATAAGTCGGCTACAATGTGAGACATAAAACCCTAACTTACACAACGTAAAATAAATAAATTGTGGACACAAAACAATTCAATAATTAACTTAATTAAATAATTACCAATTTATCAAATAATATAATTTAACGAAATCGTTAAAACAAACTATTTAATTAACACCAGTAATTCAAAAGTCACGATCACAATTAACTCAATTAATTTACATAATCACAATTTTATTAAAGTACTTCACATAATCACAATATAATTCAAGTAATTCACATAATCACAATATAATTCAAATAAGTCAAATAATAACAATTAATTCATACAAACAAGCAATTAAACAATTAAACCATTAAAATTCCAATTAAACAATTAATGAAATACCAGGACTATCTTTTATAAAATTAGAGGTATTACAGAGAGACGAATGGATTATGGAGAGGAGTATAACATATATGATATCGGGGCCAAAGATTGGCAACGTCGATGTAGTTGAAGGTGCCGATCCAAACTTCCAAGGTTTCTGGTTCGATTACTTCTTTTGCTTCAGCACCTTTTCTCGTCGTCGTGGTTTTAGGTCTTAGTATAAACTCCGATGTCGATGGGAAAATATAGGAAGGGGGCCGATTGGAAGAGAACAAATATGTGACAGGAATAGACGATGAATGGGTTTTTTTGTCATTATTATTTTTTTAATCCTATTCTAGTCAGGAATGGAATCTTCATCCCATTTTTAATGATAATGAATGAAATTGTGGGAATGGTCATTCCCAAATAATGCGCATTCCATATATTCTTAACTTCAATTTAACCTATCAAACATGGAAATGGAATAAAAAACATTTGTATTCCCTCTTAATTGAGTCCATTAACCCAAACCAAACATATTAAAGTGGGAATGACCATTCCATTTGAATGAAAATCCATTCCACGACTAAACATATGGAATGGTCATTCCATTCCTAATAAACAAATAAATAAATAAATAAATCAAGTTCCCAAAAAACCCTTATGCTCTAAGTCCAAAAACCATCACCAACACCTTTCACCGCCGACTTTCACCATCACCACCACCTCTATTGCATTATAGCACCGTTGCTGCCACCGCTACCATTGTTGCAACCTTCAACCAACACATCGTCGCCGCCTTCACTGCTTTTAGCCACCGCCACCTCCACTGTCTTCCACCGCCATTATTGTCACTATCGCCACCACCACCACTACCACTTTTCACCACTTTCACTACCGTCACTGCCACCGCCACCACCGTAGCTACTTTCCACCACTATCAAGCATCCGTTGCCTCCCATGCCTTCCACCGCCACCAACTTTCATCACCACCATTACCTCGACCTCCACCTTCACCAGCTTCCATCACCACGACCACCTTCTACCACCACCCCTGCCACAGACTTCCATCACCACCACCACCGTCGATGCCACCTCTACCGCCACTGACATCAACTTCCATTGTCACCGCCACTACTTTCCACCGCCACCTCCACTATCGTCTTCCACCGCCATTGCCTTCCACCACTGCCGCTTTTCGCCAGCACCTACACCACTGTTGTTTTCTATCACCACCACACCACTGCCATCGCCACTGCCTTCCATTATCATCACCTACGCCACTGACGCTTTCCACCATTATCGCCTCCACCACCGCCACCGCCACCGCCTTCTACTAACACCGTGCTGCCTTCCAACACCACTGTTGTTTTCCACCAACATCAACAATCGTCACCATTTCTTAAATAAATAAATAAATATATATATAGAATAATGTTATTTTGTCAATTAAAATTATTTGTTGCTAACAAGGGTATTTTGAAAAATTCAATTTGAAATTTATTACTTTCTAAATTTTACATTAGTCCATCCTATAGATTTCATATTTGCAACAAAATAATAGAATGAACATGATCATTATATTCCATTATTGTTTTCATTACTTTTTCACTTACATTTCATTATATTCCATTCCTGCACACCAAACGCATTGGTGTTGGAAAAAAAGAAAAAAAAACTTTTACTTTTTTAAATTAAGCAAATAAGGACACTTTGTCAATTTAAAAATAAAAATATCCAAAATGCCCTTAAGACAAAATATAAATTGAAAATATATTATTGATTTCAAATTTTAAGGATATATAAGGGTATTTTGGGTTTTTACAGAAAAAGTACTGTGAAGATTTATTAGAAACAATTTGTACACATTTTCAACGTTAAAAATTTATATGCACAATTAAATAACACCGATATTTTACACAATTTTTTAATATGGGAGGACCATTTTTTGAACTTTACCCTTCAACCGCGGACAAGTTTTATCTTTTTCATATATACTGCGGAATCTTCGACATTTAAATTTTAACTTTAAATTGTTATAACTGGTAGTAATACAAATATGATCTCTAAAGGGTGAAAAGTGCAGTTTGGTAATAAAGAACATGAAATTAATGTTACAAATTTTGTAGGGGTTGCATTTCATTTGATTTCTTCATTAATAGAATGACAATATTGTCTAAGTGTAAGAGAACTTTTTCAGATAATTGTGGAGTGTGAGCATTTTTTTTTCAAAGACAATTCTCATCGTCTTTTTTATTTAAAAAAAAAGAAAGACAAAGTGCAAAAATTTCCTCAACTTTCAAGAAAATTTCCTTAAACTTCCATTTTTGCACAAAACTCCCTTGTATTATTTTAAAAAATATACAGACACATCCCTACGGACTGTTACAATAGTGACAAAAAAAAATTGCATTTTTTTACTTGAAATCTCCATATACCTTTCTTTGTTGATCAAAATTGTCAAAATTTTAAATTCAACCCAAAATGTAAATGGATTATATAAATTTCACATCATATATTTGCAGTCCCAATTTTTTTTTATATATTATTTATTTATTTTTTATTATTTTGTCATTGGGAATTTATTTGTCATTTTACAACGGGTGTTATTTTTAATTTTCATTTCTTGTGTGATAAGATAGTAAATTAGATGTATATCACCACACTTAAACATTTCTGGTGGGGTAAAATGGTAATTCAGGCATAATTGACATTTTTATAGCTTTTTTCAGGTAAAACATGAATGAGACTAAAACCAACCACCTTTATTGACATTTTTATTCACAACATATATCAATAATATAGTACATGAACATGTGTAAAAGAACAAATAAAAATCTATTTAAAATTGGGGTGAAGAAACAATGATAAAGACTGGAAAAAATTAAGCTGAATGACCTAACAAGATAAGGTAAAAAGCCTAAACTATATTGTATTTGATGAAACGTGGAAGAATTGTAATGATCATAACTGCACAGAGTTAAATGAAGCTACTGTAATTGGTTGTTGTTTCCGGGGTAAAAAAAAAATTGATTGTTGTTGTTGTTTTTTTTTTTTGGTTGGTTGATTGTTGTTATTTATCAAGCATATTTGAAAACAATACTTAGCTTGGTTGAAGGGTATCGAAAGAAAAAGAAAAAGAAATGTAATGGAAGGCAATATTGAAATATTATGTTTGGTATAAATTTTTAAAGGAAAAGAAAAAAAACGGAGCAATTATGAAGAATACAAATTATACATCTTGCGTTGGCTTTGTTATCTCTGAAAAATGGGAGAAAATGGAAGGAGGGGAAGGAATTACTAGTATTTTTAATTAAACTTTGTTAATACCAAATTTGTCCTTAAATTTATGAAAAAGGGTATGGTAATAAATTCATTAAAATTCTTTCATTTCCCCTTGCTATCATTTAATTTATTTTCTTTTATTAATAAACCAAATATGATAAGCAGAGTGATAAGTGGTTAATAATATCCTCTCATTTTATTTATTTTATTTTCTCTTCTAACTAATCTTATCATTTATTTTCCTTTCTACCCTACTAAACACGGCAGCCCAGCTTGGTTGGAGAGTATTGGTAGGAAATGAAAATAAAGGCAATGAAGGGAAATGAAATATTACGTGGTATGAATTTTGAAAGGAATGCAAATGAAACATGATACAAACTATACATCATGTGTTTGATTTTGTTATCCTCAAAAAAATGGAAGAAAATGAAATAAAATACTAGTATTTTTAATGAAACTTTATTAATATAAAAATTGTCTTTATTCTTATGAAAGACAACATTTATAAAAAAGGGTATGATACTAAATTTATTAAAATACTTTAATTTCCTTTCATTCCCTAAACACTTTATTATTTTCCTTTATTAGAATTCAAGATATTTGAAAATAATGATGGAATGAAACTCCCATAATAATTATTATTATTTTATAAATATTAGAATTCAAGATATTAGCAAATAATGATGGAAGGGAACTCCCATTATTATTATTATTATTTTATTATTTTCATCTGACAATAAACTCAAACACTTTAACAGACCACTTGGAAAAAACAATATTAAGGAAACACTAGCGTTCAACTTATTTTAAGATCAATGAAATATCTTAAAAGTAGTTGAAAGGTTCAATTGCAAGTAAAAAATTATACCGCTTTAATTCCTTAACCATCAATCTTATTGCAACAAAAGTAAGCAAAATTCCAGCCTTCAACTTGGAATACACAAAAACTTGTTTAAGAGTAAAGAAATATATCCTTATGTTTGGTACATGTAATTATATTTTAAAATTGAATTTAATTTAAAATAAAAAATATTTTAATTCAATTAAAAAAGACCTACAAAAATTTATAGCTTCAATTACTTGAAGAAAACAAATTGTACCTTTTTGAGTGAAAATTAAGGAGGAGGATTCTCAAAGGCAAAACAGACCAACAAAATAGATGTGTATATATATATATATAAAAAAAAAATACACAACACATATATAGAGAGTGACACTCGAAAAGTTAAAATTGCTTACTTGGAATGAAAAACAAACACAGATTGTTACCATCAATAGAAATTAAGAATATTTATCAACTCATCGGTACCATAAAAGCTAGAGATGATAATAAGACATTTATTTGATTATACAATTTATCATTTGATAATACAATTTCATTTATTTGATTATACAATTTAACATTTGATAATATAATTTAAATATTTTAAAATGATAGGTGTTACTTAATTTTGTTAAAAATTTAAGTTACATATGTTTCATTTAATATTTTTGACTACTGAATGTTAAAATTAAAAAAATACATAAAACTTAATTTTATTAACACCTAAAAACCATTTTAAAAATTTGAGTAAATTTTAACTTATATCAAATAATAACATAAGACCATATATAATTATCACAAGAAAAAAAACGAAAAGAAAAAGAAAGAGCAAATTCAAAGATTTTATTTTATTTTATTTAATCCAAATGGTAAAACAAATTCAAAGGTCATGATGAAATAGTTGGATGTGTCGTTCATAGTCACATTTGCCATGTCGAAACCCTCCCCACATCTTTAAGAATTGAGAGGTTTGCTAAGCCAAATGCCCTTTGGTCAAATTAAAAGATTTGACATAAAGCCACAAAGGCCACAGCAAATAAGGGAATCGCAGAGTCCTCCTCTGTTGGGGGATTTTCTCACTTATCTGACCCCTCACCTCCTCACTTCCCCAAGAAGAGTCCAGTAAGGGGTTGAATCCTTACACTGCCCCCAATTTCCCTCCATCTTCAATCTAGATTTCTACTCTCTCTCTAAACTCTCACCCCCTCCCCTCCCCTTTTCTCTCTCTGTAGAAGCATATATAGATACATGTGTACACCCACTTTGGATTTTTCTTGAATCTGGGTTTATTACCCACTTTTTCTATCTAGGTATGGACAATAGAATCCCACCTGGAAGCTACTTCCAGTACTCTCCCACGAGAGTCCATGGTTCACTCCAAAGGTCTTCCTCTCTCCCCTCAGATCTTGAAAGGTTTGTCTCAACTCCTTTACATCTAAACCCAGTTGTGTTTGATTGCTTTATTTTATCTGTTTAAATTTGTATCTGTATCGAGCTCCTCCTATGTGCCTCTTCTTGGTTCTGATGATTGCCTTATGATACAGTTAATGTTTCTGTATGATTATCGTGATTCTTATTATAAAGTTCAATTTTTTTTTCAATGTTTGAGCATACTGGTTGACCATTATTGATATCAGTTGTTTATAATGTTTACGAGCTTTGAGATGAAGATTCATTCAGACATGGGTGAGTGTTGCTTCATTAGGTCACAGAGTACTGTGATGCTTATCTTCGTGGGTTGACAATGTGGCCAATGTCATAATTGAGCTATTGATGTGTTCTATTTGTTACTTTCTGATGGAATAAATTTTAATTTTAGAACTTTTATGACATTTTTGCTGCACCACATTAATGAAGCATTCCATTTTATTCCGCTTGATCTAAACATTTGTGTTGTTGGTGATATTTAAGTGTGTAGATCGAAAATATCCAATTACTTTATATGCCCAGATTTAAACCTTTGTCAAAAGTTATTTTTGCTCGTAGTTTTGTTCTTAGTAAAGTGTTTTAGAAGAATCATTCTCCTGTGCAAGTAGTTATGCTGCTTTTCATTGGGTATTGGGCTTTTAAATGTGATTTGGCTGGTATAACACTGGCAGATATTTGGCAGAACTCTTGGCGGAAAGGAAAAAGTTGGCTCCATTTATGCAAATTTTGCCAGGATGCAGCAGGCTTCTGAATCAAGGTTCTTAAATCCACCATCCACCTTTTTTGTAGTATATGCTGTAGTTTATGGATTTTGGTTACGCCATCACTGTTTGTTTTTCTCCTTTTGGTCTTCTTATCGAGATACATATTTGAATTGATCTTTAAAATATTGGTTTGGGGTTTTGTGATAAATTTGAAAACACTTTTTCATTTTTAATGCCTGTCATTTATTTTGAAAACTATTTTATATACATAGAAGACTATTTGGTATACATACTTAGAAAATAGTGCATGCCTTGCACGAATTTTGGCCAAGTATGCCTTGTTCACTGATTGAATACCCCTGAAAATAAATTTAGATAGAAAAAATACTAAATTTATTAATCAATCAACCATAGAAAAAGGATAAGAAAATGTCCAAGTAACCCAACAATCAAGGTTTCTTACACTACTTCCAAATATTTATGGTGTTGACTTTGTGCCGAATAGCCTCCAAGACATGCTTCCTAAATCAATGGCAAAGTGGCCTTAGCAACGGGTTAACCCATTTATCTTTAGTCAACATGCATACAGTTGACTTCATTGCTCTCCATTATTCATGTTGCCTCGTGGATATAACCTTGAGCTGTCCTCCGTGCAAACCATCTTCTTCCCCCATCTCCCCACTAAAAGAAAGAAAGAAAGGACACACCCAGCCACAAAAAGGAAGAGAAAGGAAAACGAAAAGGAAAATTACTACACTTCAGGCACGTGCATATATTTATATTAGCCAATTTTATTATTAGCCCAACTCGTGTCAAGCATATTATTAAAATTTATTTCATGTTGGACCGCATGACTAAGGGTAAAGTGCATGATTGGAAACATTTCAAGTTTGAGACAAATGACGTTATGTTGGTCATCACTATAAAGAGAAGTAGAGGAACTTGACAATGAGAAATATATATAATTCAAGCAGATTTTAAAAGTTTACAAAGGCTTCAGAAATCCTTAATTGGAACGTAAATAGGACTTGTATTGTCCTTTTTGTGTTTTGTTTCCCTTTATTCATTTTATTTTATTTATTCTGTTTGGGGGTCATATTCCAAGGTTAATCATGTTGTCAGGGAATATGTTCAATCAATACGTGCTGGCTGTTCTCCTAATGAATATTCTTATCATGGAAGGTTGATGCAGTTTGCTACAATAATGTAACTGGAAATGGTATATAAGGAGGTGTTGACGGACATTTGAAGGGTGTTTTTGTTTTGCTATGAGGTTACTGGCTTCGGTGGAAGGCCTTAGGTTATATGGACACAAGATTCTTTAATGATTGCTGTAGTAACAGGGTAGTTTCAGTGACTTGTTTGTGTAAGTGCCTTAAGGACCAGTGAGTTTGAATATTTGTGGAGGTTTATGGACCGAATGGATGTCAAAAATTCTCTGCAATGAATGATCATGGCCTATCTATTTCACCATTTTATCCTCACACATTAATATATGGGTGTTGTTTGAAGTGTAAAAGTTTAAAAGTAAAAGATTCCTTCTTTCCTTTCTTTTTTTTCTCCCTCACTTTTTGTCAGTAATAGAACGGTGGACATAGAAGAATTTACGACACCCCTCTTTCTGTCTCATTTCAACTTTCTTTCCTACCAAATGACTGAGGTAGTGTTTGGCGTGGCTTAATTGGCTTACCAGAATGACTTCGTAAAAATCAATTTGAGAATAAAAAGGCGTTTGGTTAACCTAAGTTAATTTAACTTTTGAATGGTATTGGTAACTGCAAAATGATCTACAATTTTACACTAATACCCTGACATACTAATATTTATCTACATCATTTTGACACAAATTACTGAATCTACCACCAGTTTTATCATTTCAAAAAACACATAAAATTGTATTTTAATTATGAAATAAAGGAATACACACAAGCTATACATACATGCATGCTTACATCTGGACATTAGGTACAATGTAGAGAATTTCCTGGAAATTTAGGAACAATGTAGAGAATTTCCTGAAAATTGTTTTTTTTTTTTTTTTTTATAAAAAAAAACTCAAGAGAGCTATGAAAGGTGTAGAGAACTTGCAGATTTGGAAAATTAATCAGAGTTTTACAAGCTAAATTTAGAGAATTAGAAACCCTTTAAAATTGCTTTAAAATTGTAATTGTTAAGAATGCCAGTCTTAAGTCTTCAACTAAAAAGCATACAGAAATTCTTCATTCTAGAGATGACCATAAGAGACCTTGATCCCAAGAAATTCTACAGAGATAGAAATAAACATATAGAAACATTGATCCAAATAGGATTCTTCAACTACAGGGCAGCAAGGGTTAGAATTGATGAAGAATACCAACACTCAATTTTATCTTTTTCTTACACTCTTAATGCCATAACATTCAGCAATCATTCAAATTAATATGAAATTGGAGGATAATACGAAAGGGTATTCTTTGCATGCCTCTCCCCCAATTTCATATATCAATATGATCGGTCGTCAAAACCCTAACCACGTAATTTTTACGCATTCATCGAAATCTTTGAACTTGTGGGCTGCTTCGGCAAAACTACGGAGAGAAGGAAGAGCAGCCCCCACTGGCGAAACTACGGCGAAAAGGAAGAGCAGCCTTCTGGTGAAAGTCTCCTCTAGCAGCTAGGTCGTCATCCCCAGAAGACACAGCTTCCTTCTATCAGTAATAAAATGGAGAAAGAAGGTTAATTTGGGAAATATTTTATAATTTGTAGGGTCAAAATTGTGATCACAATATTTATCACTTAATCTCCCATCAGCTTCCCAAGAAATTGATTTCAAAAGCCTCTTTTTGTGGCTTCTGTTGAACGGACTTTTGAAGACCTTGGCTTCTTAAGGAAGCCCGTTTCAAAAAAATTACCAAACATGCACATTTTTGTGGAATGCCTTCCAGATCTTAGAAGCCCGTTTTGGAGCCCCTGGAAGCCACGCCAACAGGGCCTGAAAATTTATCTACCTCTCCCTTGTCCTTCCTCCAATTCATTCCTCAAACACAGTCTGAGGGTTCTTTTGAGATTGAAGAAACAGTAATTTTATTTTTCTTTTAAAAATCTTTTGGTAAGAACCATGAGGCACTATGTAAGGATTTAAAAATTGATACAACTAGTGGTAATTGGTAATCATTTGAAGGTGTCAAGGGCAGGGGTGCTAGAGAAGATCAGAAGACCAAATGGACTGAGTAATGGGGAGGGTTTTCTTGGCATGAGATCACCATTCGGACAAGGAAAAAATAACAGGAATACAATAAATCAGTGAACTAAACAAATATTAGTTGGTGACAAAGAATGGAGTTATCTAGCTTAGGAAGGGCATTAGAGTGCTAACGTTTTTCATCAGATAGCAAATGCTTCATGAACGACAAACCATATTTCAGGGGGGAGGAGCAGATTAAGGATGCAGTCTTTAGCTTTACAAGCACTGTTACTAACGAACAACTATGAGAAGGTCACCATTAGTCGGCTTATATTAGTCATGACTCTTCAGAGTTATTAGAGAGGCCCTTAGAGATGAGTAAGAATTTATTCTTTCTTTCTTTCTTTATTTTTTTAAACTGTGGCAAAACAAAAACAGGCATCGATATTTTCCCAGTTGTGCAGAATTCGGTAGATACAAGGTTCGGTCTGCAGCTTAACAGGGTGACGTTGGTTTTATGCTAGAAGTGCAGGGTGTTTTTAATGCCTCTCCTTATCATTAGATTCTGATCTTAGACTACATCCCTGTAGTACTTCACTCTCTGTACATCATACCGATAATGAAAGGGATACAGAAAGCCTATATATTTTAGACATCTTACCACTTCTGAAAGAAAGGCAGGAAGCATATATCCTAGCCAGTGTAGCACTATGTGCAGCACCACAACCACAAAATGTGCTCTTATCTTGTTACCAGATATTTCAGGCTACCAACAATTTCCCTGATGGCAAGAGCAAATTTTCCTAGTTATGGAAGAGATGAATGTAGAATCACTCATTATGCACAAAAATATTCTGTGTCTATCATGCACCCCAAGTTCCGAATGACCTGAAAAACATATCTCGCTAAAACTTCCGATCAGATGCTTTGTAAAAAGAAAAAGGATACATATTCTCAGGCCTTGGATCATTTTCAATATGAATAGATTTCTTTCAACAACAACAACAAAAAAAAGAAAAAAAAAAAAGAGAGTAAAAGGAAGGAGAATACAATTAAATTAGAAATTCTCTTTAGAATTTCAAAATTTTTTTTTCAAACAAAAAGAAATTTATTGTCTGATGTTGCATCACTTTAAGTGTTAATTTAGTTATATGCATCACTTTATTGTTTGTGTTTTTGGCAGAGGACAGGTGTAACAGGTCGTATGCTTGCCATCCGACTTAAAAGCTTAAGTTGTTAGGTGGTGCTGCCTACAACCCTACCGCCCTTTTAAGCCCAAGATCCTCCCCATCCCCATCTGATATGGGACGGACCCCTTTTAAGCCCAAGATCCTCCCCACCCAAAACCGTGATGACCTCGTCATCAACGGGCCATCTTGCCTACCCGTCCACCCTACAAGCAGCGACTCATAATGACCTAGACACCTTCGTGTGGGTGCTTGGCATTGTAACGGGTCAGCCCCTTGACATCCGACCCAAAAGCTTAAGTTCTTAGGTTGTGCAGCCTACCCGCCCTTTTAAACCCAGGCCTCTCTCCATCCTTATCGGATGTGGGATGGATCCCTCTGATAACAGGCTCGTTTACACTAATACAATGTCTCCCAAGTATTTCTATTTTAGAATTTTACATTTTTTATTTCTTTTATTATTATTTTTTTTCCTTTGCTCATAATCTGTTCTATATTATTCTCTTTTCTTTTTTCCCTTCTTTTTGTGGATTTTTTGGTTATTTGCGATAGTTTGTTTGATGAAGGGTTTTATTGCCAAGTTAAGAGGAAGCTAAAAGTTGCTTCCTGCGTAAAAAGATTTCATAATAGCTATACCTTCTTCTCCTAGTAGACCGTCGTGATCATTGATAAATGTTCATTACTCCCATTTCTGAGATCCTCTTTCATATCTGTACTTCATGTCATAATATAGGACTTGTCCTCCCGAATCAGATGTTTTGTTCTTTCAAGTGATTGTACATTTACGGGTTTTTATTTTTTCTTTCTCTCCGTACTCGTAAGTATTAGACGATGCCAAAGATGCCACTCGTCAAATATGCCAAAAATTCTCAAGGCATTGTTGCAAATGGCGCCAAATACCTGGATGGTACCAAGTAATTTATTGGCTGATGCCTTTTGCAGTCAGTATCGAAACTTTCTCCTGCAATTCCAATCAGTATCAGAGGACTCTCATTGGTGTTTGCTGGTGCTCATACATTATGCCAGCATCTAATGCTGGAAGTAGAATTCTCTTGAAAAGAGCTTAGCTGTGAACACCAAACCATCGGCAGTTTTATGTTTATAGTAATCCACACTTAATATTTAATTGCATTGTTGGTCTTTTCATCTTAATGCAGAAATCGCGCGGGTATCAGGATTGATGTCCAATCAAAGTTTTGTGGATCGTGCAAGAATTGGTCCTGAGCACCCATTTAGGTCATCAGGTCAACAAACAAATGGTGGACCAATGGATATGGAGGGATGGTCTGCTATGCAAACGGAGGTAATGGTCTTTTGTATTTCTCTTGGAGTTTCATTCTGCAATGTGTTACAACTTTACTTGGACAATGAATTCCATTATCTAATCACATCATGACTAGCTTTAAATATGCTGTCAAAAACAGTTTACAGGAGTGATTGATTGATCTGCCCGCATTTATGGGTCAGTCATTCGTCTCATTTATGCAAATAAAATTTTTGTTGTGAAATGGGACCATGCAGTGGTTTTTCCTGTATCATCAGGGAAAAATCTTAGCATGTTAGTTATTTAGAAAAGAATCAATTTATTGAAATTTCATCGATGATCTACAAGATGAAATTAAATGGGTTTTCTTGGTGGCTGGGAGAGTTATCAAGCCGCAGAAATATCATTTGCTGTCAGTGAGCTCTGCAGTTTTATTGAAGCCAGATATTTCTAAATTATATATTTAAAAATATTAGATACTCTTCTCTTGTTGGTTATGAAAAGTAAATTACCAATACTAAAACTAATGGTCTACAAAGTACAAAATGGGATTCTTTGCCCGTAACTGTACCTTGTGGGAGTGTTTCTTTGAAATCGCTCAGTTGATTACCCAACTATAGAAGGTCATCTGGTTGTAGAAAAATGACTTTCCTGGATTGATCCAATTTCTAATGTAGTGTTTTGATGATTAAACAATCACAGACGTCTTCATCAGGTTGAAGAAAAAAGACATTCCTGGATTGATCCAATTTCTAACTTAGCATTTCGACATCAAGTACACGCACATATACATATACACAAGTACATGTACACACACTAAATAGATGATTCTTTTGTATAATCACTAATGCGTTTTCTTTGTTATGGGTCTTGCACTTTTTCATAAAAATGTATACATCTAGCATATGAAATGATATCCTTTGGATATTACAGGATACGACTGCAATTCAACTTAAACTGACATTTGTTTATAAATTCCTTGATCGACAAAACTTATATAGATATATGTATCATGTTAATATAAGGTAGTGACAACTACTTCTTACAAAAAGGGTTTATTAAAACTTATAGCTGTAGAGCTTAGTCATAGCTTTCCTTGTTTGTCAGTTTAAGAAGGCTTCTTTTAGTAACTCTGACAGATATTACTCATGTTTGATTGGCTTTTTAGGGCACCGTGTAATGTTCGTTTCCTTTTTTGTTTTAACAATTTCATCATTTAGTTGCTACTTTTGGTCAGTCAGTTCACGATATTGATTCATTAGAAACAGTTATTATTGGAGGAAGAAAGGGTGAAAGCTCATCTCCCTTAATAGTATACAACTCTTTTCGCACAAATGACAATAAAAGCAGCCAATCAAGAGTGAAGGGGGGAAAAGGGCCTCCTTATCTATGCCATGAAAAAGAGAAAACATCATTCTAATAACATGCCTTATAGACTTATTTGGGTTACCGTATTGATTCATTAGAAACAGTTATTATCGAAGGAAGGAAGGGTGAAGCTCATATCCCTTAATATATACAAGTCTTTTCGCACAAAAGCCAAGAAAAGCAGCCAATCAAGAGTGAAGGGGGAAAAAGCTGCCTTCTCTATGTCAAGAAATAGAGAAAACATCATTTGAATATCTTGCCTTCTAGATTTATTTGGGTACCTACGGTAATCCTAAATTTTTTTCTTCAATTTCTCTCCTTCTGAGTAGGACAATAATTAAAATGAGGCACCGTCTTCACTGCTTTAGAAGTTTTAGAAGTTCCTCAGCTTTATGGAAGCTTAAAAATGTAATTATGATTTCTAAGGAATGTCATTACATTGTGATATTTATTGATTTTTCTTGTTATATACTAGAAGTCGATGGTTATTTGTATTCCTCTGTACATTGGAAACTACAAGTACTGCATGATTACAGACACACGGTATATGTCATGCATTGATGAATAAAATTCACAAGCTAAACTTGAAAGTAATAGTATGTTGAGAAGTGGGTTTACAATTTACGTATGCTTGTGGTAGCTTGCTAGGTCAAAGTTGAATGTGAGACGACATGTCCATATCATCTGATTCTCAACTGGCAAAGAAAACCTATATAAACAAAATGGTTATAATAACACAGTCTACAATAATCTATGAATAAAGATATCATTTCTATTTCTGTGACTGGATCTGAGGATTGGAGAGGGAATGGAAACAACATTAACCATCTCCCCCGCGGCGATAAATCCTGTGTGCATGGCTGAACTAAAATTTTTCTTTTCATGTCCAGTTGACTGATTGCCTTTCTTCAAACTTAAGTGAAATGGTAAATGTTGCTCCAGGAAAATGGAGTTCACCAAAGAATGGCTCCTTTTCAAGCTTCCTCTATCGGTTGGCATGGAGTACCAGGAATCCCAACCAACAATCCTGTTGTAAAGCGAATCATCAGACTTGATGTTCCTGTGGACAAGTTCCCAAATGTAAGTAAAGTTGTTATTTGCAATAACTGGGAGTTATTTTTTCATTCATCTTTCTTTTCTTCCATTTTCTCTAACTCAAAAGCGTGGCAGTTTAATTTTGTAGGCCGAATACTGGGACCACGTGGGAACTCCCTGAAAAGGGTTGAAGCCATGACAGAATGTAGAGTATATATAAGAGGTCAGGGCTCAGTGAAAGATTCAGTTAAGGTACTAAGATTTTCTTCTCACCACGATTTTTGGTAAAACATATCACTTCAAGTAAACTACTGGTAATTAGACTGTCAACAAAACCAACTTGAGTGAGTAATGAACACTTTGGAATACTTATATGGAGTTTTATCGGTCTAAAGTTTGTTCATGTGCATTTTTGCTTGTGGATATTGATAAGTTTGAGTTCACATCGAAGTGATTCTGTTTTTCACTTGCTTGTTGAGTATTATGATTCATTATTGATATTTAAAATTTAAGTTGATTAATGTTTCTTCTGATGTTTATCTTGTAATTCAATCTTCTGAAGTAAGGGATTGCTATATTATTGGTGATGCCAAATAGCTTTTGTCCACGTTTATATGGTAGTGATGCGCGTCTCCGTTCCATATTTATATGCAAACTTCCTGTCTTCACATGTATATAATTTTGGAAGTTAACTCACTTGATCAACACTAATGGATATACACAATTTTGGAATGATAAATGGTCTTGTTTTCACGGGTAGAAAGACTTATAGTTTAAAATTTATTGCTGCTCAATGTCAACTCAAATATAGTTTAAAAGTTGTGTCACTAGTGTCACAGCACTCCAATTTAGATTCGCGATTATTTTCATAAGAAACTAAACAAAGGAAAACACAGAATTATTTATGCTTCATAATGTAAGCGCATTCGCAAGTGTCCTGTTCGATTCGATTTTTCTAATTCTTGGCCATTTCCTTGGTGAATCACTAGTCTAATGGTTCAGCAAAAAGCAAAATTCAGTTGCTTTATCTACAGGGACCAATGAAATACTAGAATTCTGGCTTCCTTTTTCCAACACAATGAAGATCGACTAAACTTTCCCAGTGTCATTTTTTTACATTTTTTGCCCTTACCCAGTATCGAGGGTGTTAGGACTTAGGAGGAGCAGACTGGGTACATGATACTTTTCAGCATTATTTGCAAGAAGTGTATAATAAAATTATATCTTTTAATGTGTAAGTGTATAATAATGAAAACAATCAACATCCATTTCCTTGCACTTTTTTCCCCCTGAAATTCATATCTTGTATTAATGTATTTGTCAGTTTGATGGAGCCCTGTGGTATATCTACTGAAATCTCTACTCTTCATCATCGTTATCTTCATCAATTTTTATTAGTTGTAATAGCGGAGCTGCATTGCCTGGCAACTCAGAATGGCATTATCAAGTGGTTGATTGATTTTGTTAGCAGCAAAATGTTTTGATTTTTTTTCCTGGAAAATTAAATGTTTTAATATTTATTATCAATCATCTATATAGTAGTTATTTGTTGTATGTTCTCCTTTTCTATGATGTCCATCTGGCTCTGAGTGTTGACATGCCTAATAATTTCTCACACTAGACCTCTGCTCTCTCTCTCACAGGAGGAGAAATTAAAGGATAAACCTGGATATGAGCACCTCAATGAGCCTCTACATGTGTTGGTGGAAGCTGAATTTCCAGAGGATATAATAACTTCACGCTTGAATCATGCAGTGGCGGTGCTAGAAAACCTATTGAAGCCTGTGGTATGAAATATGAATTAGATTAACCTTGCAGCCATTTGGTACTGTTAGTCCACTTTCTCTAGACTTCTTATTCATCTGTCTTTATATATATATATATATATATAAATATATTTGTGTGTGTGTGTGTAGGATGAAACCATGGATCACTACAAGAAGCAACAACTCAGAGAGCTGGCTATGCTAAATGGCACACTAAGGGAAGAAAGCCCAAGCATGAGCCCGAGCATGTCTCCGTTTAACAGCATAGGAATGAAACGAGCGAAGACAGGACAATAACACCTATATGATGAAAGATCTATACAATTGCTGGACTGCTAGCAGCTGGTTGTTTCCAACGGTTTCCGAGGTGAATACTGCCCACAAGAAACTGCGTCATAAAACAGTTTGTAGAAAAAACTTCTTAGCTTGCATGGGGGGCATTTGACGTTGTGGTGTATTAGGGAGGAATCTGCTTCATAACTTGTGTTGTGTTCTGTTCTGTTCAATAATATTTCATATTTATCTGTAATCATACATTCTTTCATGTATCATTGATTTTGAGGTCCAACTTCGTTGTTTTGGTTTTAGCAACTTTTAATTCTATATTTGATTTTGGCACATTCTTAATAGCTGCAATGCCATGAAAAATGTCCTTTTATAATAATATTATTCAATGTTAAGTTCTACAAAAAAAAAAAAAGAAACCCACGAGAATGGAAGATTTTGGTGCTTAATTTCAGAAACCCATTCTCTAATTCATTGATTATTTGGAGTCTTGGTGTGTAGATCTGGGAATGAGGTAGCTATTTATGTTTTTAGGTGTAGCCATCGGAAAATGTAGTTTTGATTGGGATGCACTTAGCCTGCGTTTGGCGTGCTGGAATGGAATGGAATGGCATGCAACTTAGAATGGAATGGAATGGCGTGCTGGAATGGAATGTAATGTAGTTTTCATTGGGATGCACTCTATTCATTCCATTCCTGCATACCAAATGCAACTTAGAATGAGAATAGAATGGAATGAAAAATTATACTCAGCCTAATAAGAAGTTAGGTCACGTAGACGGAACTAATGATTACGCTTGTGGGATGCGAGTGAGTATGGTACCGGTCTAGTGTTGGATCCATGAGATGATTAGTATATGTGTGTACATGAATCTGTTATTAGTTGTCAAGTAGCCTAGTTTTTCACAGAATATTATATATATATATAATGTGGAGTGTTTGATTGGTTAAAATTATGTTAATAAGCCACAGGGAAGAACTTTTAAGTTTATGAATTTGGTACCTCTTAATTTGTAAATAAAATAGTTAGATCATTAGTGTAATAGACTTGAATTGATCAATGAAGTGATAGTCATGTTAAATGGACCTTCCTGACCTAGAATGTTGGTGGGTGAATGTGATAGGAGAAGTTGCATAAATTGATTGAATTTGTCTTTGGGTGTGCGGGATGTTGATTACCTAATTATCATTATAATTGTTATTATTATTTGTTAGTTATAAGGAGGTCCGTGGGGTTACAGTTTTAGTTAATGTTTTAATTATGCAATGATATTTATATCATTGTTGGATGCGTTCCTTATGTATTATTGGATGGTTGAATTAGTTCCTTGTTTACTTTTGAACTAGATTTGTTCCATAAATGAAATACTAGAATTTGTGCAAGTAATTAAAAATTTAAATGATTAAAGAATTAATGATGGAAGGGTCTTAATTAATTAAGTTGGAAAGCTAGTCCCAAATGAATGAAAGTAAGCGGAAGAGTTGTTACTATTACATGCCTATTACAATATATGTGTGTGTATATATATATATATATATATATTTTTTTTGCTTATAATTGTGCAATTGTTATTAAGGTGTGATAAAAGTTTACTTGTTGAGCTTTGAGCTTGCCAAATTGATGTTGTTATGACGAGAATAATGTGGAATAATACAAATGCCATTGAGAGAGCTGTGGTTTGACGAGGGTCTTTAAAGTCATTTTATAAAATTTGTACAATCGAAACCATCAAGAGAGGCATTCCTACCACAAAGAACACATGGTATAACACAATAACAAACGCTAATGATACGTTACTGTGCATTCCTCCCCACATTGGAGTAATCGGTCCTGAATTCAACATCCATGTATGTATCTGAAAATTCACAAAATTTAAAATCACTGGTTGGAAACAAAATCTCTCTTAACTCTCAAAATATGTTAAATAAACGTTTCACTCCTCTTTATTATATAATAAAAAGATCGAGCCCTAGAAAAGGATAGTACCAATCTAATTACGACTGGGTTGGTTATATATATATATATATATATATATATATATATATTATATATGGAATTTTCAATCATATCTTCTAATATTTAAAATAAATTTATCAGTGACCATTAAATCACCTATATTATTTCTTTTTAATACAAAATCACTATTACTATTTTTAGTTTTTAAATTTAATATTTACTAATATCACTAATTACAACAATAAAAAGTAATTTAAAAAAAAAAAATTAGAAACTTCTTCACCCTGAAAATTCTCTTTTTTTTCTATGATCACTCTAACTCTCAATATATATGTTAAATAAAGTTTCACATCTCTTGTGCCTCCTTAATATATATATTATATAAAGAGTGACCTAAAAATGATAATCACAATCCAATTAGGGCTGCTTTGTGTGTGTGTATATATATATATATTCGATATATCAAACCAAATCAAATCAGTACAAATCATTCTAAAGTTTTTAGTAATAGGTTAATAAAATAAAATAAAATCTGTTAAACCAAACCACCATATTACATTACCTTTTTAATTTTTATTTCTTAAAATAAAAAACCTAATGCTATATTTGTTCGGAGGGAGGGATGGATGAGAGAGTGGAGAACAATTTTTTTGTGTTTAGTTAGACGGAAGGGAAAAGAGGAAGGAAGCAAGGAGGGATGAAGCATCCCTCCTTTCTTTCTTTGTATTTTTCTATCGGCCCAAAATTGGGAGGAATAGGAGCGAGAAAGAAGTAACAATTAGCAAAAATATATATTTTCCATTTCTAACCTTACTATAAACTTGGAATAAATATATAATTTTAAATAATAAGAGTATATTGGTAAAAAGAATATAAAAACTCTTTTTTCTCTTCCTTCCAACCAACCAAAAATAATTTATCACCTCATCCATCTTTTCTACTATCCATTTCATCCAATTCAACAAAATTTGAGGGAGACATCCATCCCTTCCCTAGGAATGCCTCATCCATCCCTTCTCCTCCCCCTTCTATCAATTTATTCATCCCTCCAACCAAACAGAGCATAAATCAAATGTCATTAACAAATAAATAAATATTTAATAATAAAAAATTTGTATGAAATTTGATACTTTACATTATTTCAATAGTATTTCACATTAAAATATAAGACTATTGAGATTTTTTAACATAAAATAATGGACAATTTAATTATTTTTTTTGATTTTTATTAATAACACAGGTGGTGTTAAACACACCATACCAGACGCTGTAACAAATGCTAATGCCACATTACTTCAATCCTTCATCATGTCATCGTTGTCTCTTCCTCTGTCGAGAGATCCAGAAAGAATAATCCCCTATCTAATTAGGGCTGCGTTATATATACACTATAGATATACTTATATATGGAATTTCCAATCCTATTCTCAAAAATTCAAAATATATTTGAGAGTTTGAAACATATGTAAACCAAGTCGTATTGCTCCGGAGTTAGAATGGGTCACCCGTCCGTTCTCAGTTTCCATTAAATTCCCTAAACTTAGATGAATAATTTATAAATAATTGTGTTGACGCGGCTCTATACTTATTTTGGAGATTCTAAGTTTTTGGTATGCACCATTTTTAGCATTTTACACTTTATTATTATATTATTTTTAAAATTTTATTTATTAAAAAATAAATATTTTCTTTTTCAATTGTTTGTTTGTTTGTTTTTTGCAACTATTCTCAGGACAATGCTTTGAGTAAAAATTTCATACTTACTACCCATGTGGCAGGAGCATAAAGTGACAAGTGTCCCTCTAATATAAAATAAGAAATAAAAGATTTAAAAAGTTATTTGGGTTAAACTTAATAAAATCTGAATTAAATCCTAATTTAATTATTTCTCTTTCTCATAAAATCTAAAAAAATTATAAAGGAATTGGATCAAGCTTTTTGATGATGGTGAGACTTAAGAGTTCAATTGTAAACTTAGCCATTCCCTGTTAGAGTATTTGCGTTAAAATAGGCTTATTAACATTATTCAAATAAAAAAAAAAGTATTTAATCATGATTTGGTAAAAAAATAAAATCTTTTTTCCTAAGAATTCTTTTTGGTTGAATAATTGTAAAACAATAATAGATTCATATTTATTTTCACATGTGGGATAAGACACGATTAACAAGTGCAAGCATCTACTTTTACACAAACAATTTGTTTGTTTGTTTTTTTTTTTTTTTTCAACAAGAAGGCAATGGAGGACTAAACAACACAAGCCACGCTTCAAAAGAATAAAAAGCAATCGAAAATCCTAATCCAATTCCTTTCATGAATTTGATTTGAGTAAGATACTTGTAGTTGTGATTCTTTAAGCTTAAGAATTAAGGCAATAGAGCAGTATGGAAAAGAGATAATTAGATATAGGTTTGATTTGGATCCTACTAGATTTAACTTAAATAACTTTCTTTTCCTTACATAATAAGAACACTTGTCACGTTATTATTACGTCACATGAACGATAAGCATCAATTTTTTACTTACCCGTCAATAAACAAGTGTTGTACCTATTCTCAAGCAGTGAACTTTATAAGTATATCATCATGACAGGAAACATCAGGTATGTCCTTTGACACTAGCTTCCACGCAAACAATTCAACTACCAAATTCTTCTGGATTTCTGACTATTCAGATAATTCCATCTTCCCACCTCTTTCTCTCTTTCAGTGATTCGACATTTTCATTAGAATATTTTAACTTTTTTTAGCACTTCAGACCCCATAATTAAGTTTATGTCAAACACACACTAGAAATTTAGTAAAAAAAATTCTACAAAACAAAAACAAACTAACTTACCATAAGCAGTTGGTGTAAAGTTCACTATTTCAAATAACATACCATAAAAAAAATCTAAAATATATAAAACGGCATTTAAGGATCTCACGTCATATGACAATGTAGATAAAGCAAATGTCAATAATATTTTGAAAAGAAAAATCTTATTCTCTAAAATTCAAAATACATTTGAAAGTTTGAAACATACCTAAACCAAGTCGTATTGCTCCAAGAGTCATGATAAGTCACCGTATATTCTCGGTCCCCATTAAATTTTCCTAAATTTACATAAATAATTTATTAAATGACAATTTTTTTAAGACTTATGGAAAGGATGAATCACATCTATTTATAGACATGCTAATCTCCCCTTTACTTAAATATCTTATAAATATCTCGAAATTATGTAATCTATATGGCTTTTACAACTTGTCAAACACCCTGTAATCTTCTTACTCTCTCTACGAAACTCCTAAAACTTTATCAATTACTTCTACTTCACTTTTATATGCAAAATTATTCCCTTCTCTTAAAAATTTTATAATTTATGGCTTTTACAAATC